AACTCATTGACGGAATGGCGAACTCACTGACGTACTTACGTATGAGGAAGCCATAAACAGGGGTAAAAATTCCATCCGTTATTCGTCGATACTACCTTACAAAATTATAGGTTGAAATTTCATTACTATAAACGGGCTTGAGGAAACCATCCACTTACTGACGGACATCAGTGCCGCTCTGATGCATTCCTTTAGTTTGGCGAAATGGATGAAGTATACTGACTGAATCAATGCTGCATCTGTTTTTTCGTTTTCTTTTGGTGTTTCGTATTCTGTAAGGTAGCATCGACGAATGACGGATAAAATGTTTTTCACTGTCATTCCGTCAGTGAGTTCGCCATTCCGTCAATGAGTTCGCCACTACGTCAATAAGTTCGCCACTCTGTCACTTGAATGATTGACGGACTGGCGCCAATGCCGGATTAAGCCAATGGCAATGAATGACGGAGCTACAGATTCATTGACGGAGTGACGATGAATAAGGCGTGTATGTCTCATACGTCAATGAGTTCGTCACTCCGTCAATGAGTTCGCCGCTCCGTCAATGAGCTCGCCACTGCGTCAGTGAATTAATGAATGAGTTCGCCATTGACGGATTGGGCGACTGACGGACTGGCATATTCTTTCGTTTTATTTTAAGATATGCTAGTATTCATAATTTTGTAAGGTAGCATCTACGTACGTCTTTCTAAGAATTTCGTTTTGATTTCGTTTTGTGATTATAATTCATTAATATTACTTTTTTTTCGGTAGCATTGACGATTGACGTTTTGACGGAATCACTAACGTGAGTGGCGAACTCATTGGCGGAGTGACGACCTCACTGACAAAGTGACGGGTGAGGTAGAATTGATTGTTACGATGCGAGCGGAAAACCGCTGTAAATCATATAGCATTCACATTAGTAGCGTGTGTCCAGAGTTTCAATTTAGGCGAATACTCTCCGACGCACAGAAAAAGTTGAAGTTCTGATAAGGTCACGGGGAATAGCTGGCCATTCCTCTTGGAGAAATGTTAATACTGCCAGGTTGCCATTAACGTTAACCAGTGTAGTCACGTCGTTGCCATAGGCGGGCAGGGCAAATCTTAAAGTGATACTACGTCTTAGAATACACTCGCCCTGTGGCTAATATTTGTTTTTAATAGTGACCATTGGTTAAATAAGTATGCATCTCACACTTTATCAAATTTGAAAATTCGGCAATAAAACTATAATCATAATTTTAAAAAAAAGTTAGCAAGCCATGAATCCGTTTAGTTTGAGAAAAAAAGAGTCATGGGTAATCAACGCTGAAACAGGAAACAATCATCTTCCGGTGTATACAAACAAACTTTGCCAATGATTAATATTCGTTGAAAATTGTGTCAGTGGTGGAGTATTCATTCTAAATTATATGAATTGCTTTTTCGCGGAGTCGCTTAATCTCCTACGAGGCATCATTATTCCGTCTTCAAAATATGACAATGTCGAGGTCAATTCAAGAGTAGAGGTCAAGGACGCGGGAAACCCCACTTGAAAGTTACTTCCCCTTGAAAATTACACCGGATTTCCTAGACTCACGATTTGAAAATCGCTTAATGGATGCATTAAGCTTTTTATAATTAATTACTTGATTTTGTAGATATATCGGATTATAGAGGGATCTTGATGTATAGTTAGGACACCAGGTAAGTCCACTGATGGATATATACCGGTACTGTTATTGGCCAAATTTGAGCAAAATTAAAATTTTATGTTCATCCTAAGACGCAGTATCCCTTTAATCTCAGGCGACGATATTGAGCTGCGAATATTTGTCCTCTGTAGCCTACGGCCTTGTTAGCTCTGATTTTTTTTACTTCGCAGCCGCCTGAACACGGTCTGTCGATTAACCCTGTGACCTAACGCATAGCTGGCTGATGACATCACTCTCTGAAAGCGGTTCCGGAGATGCAAGAAACGTACATACCGGTCACACGGGTGTTGTCCGTATAAGGCATGTTTGTTATCTGCCCTGTATGACTGTAACGTTACATCAAGTCAAGATGTTCCCATTACAATGAGCAGTGATCGGGTATATTTCCACTGAACACTGTTGTGTTTGGGCAATATATTTTTGATTGATTATAGGTTTGAACTTGCTATATAGTTTCTGTTAAAATTCACTTTCAAAGTTGGTATAGTTTCTTTTGGTCAATATTTATATACTCTAGCTCTGAGAAAATTTCAAAGAGAATGTCAATATTATCGTCTTACTTCACAATGATGATGCTCTAATCATAAAATTCCCTATAGGAGAGTAAGAAGTAAGATTACGAAACAGTTCAATGGACTTTTAATCTGTTACTAGACTGAAACATCTGCCTCTATTCTAGCCTCTCATAGCTATTTTGAAAACTGGAATAGGGGTAGATATTTCAAACTTTTACCCGTTAATTCGTTCATTTTTCTCAGGTAGGCGTACAGTATGGTCATCTAAAGGGTCTTCTACCTTTTGGATTCTGCTGACAAATCTTGAAAGTTAAATTTCTTTTCATATCCATGATCATCTATCCACCAAAATGCAGGATTAGATATATCCCGCCTTCCAGTCTAAAAACAGCAAAGATAGCTTGACAGGTAAGGTACAATATGTCTACTGGCAGCTGTCAGAAATGACAATGGAGTCTAAAATACGAATTTTCTCATTTTAATTATCTTCATAATGCATTTGTAGTTCGGATTTATTGAAATATCTTTTACTGTCAGTTTTTTTTTAAAATCAATATCGCTAATCCAAAATACATCAAATCAAAACATCAAATCACATGCCTTAACTTTTTCTTCAGATATTCTATCAGTCAAGGACAATAACTTGACAATAACAAATTTTTGGAAAAATGTCATTTCGAACTAGACTAGACGAAGATCTGACTGATATAAATGATAACACGAGATTTCATTAAAATCAGATAAGATAGCATGCCAGGCACGGTAATATACGCCCACTGGCAGCTTTGATTTTAAATACAAAATATTTGGCAGTACAGTAACAATATGATATATGAAATATTCAACCTTCAGTTATAAACTTCTTTTGAACTTTTTGAGGCTATATTGAAAAATATTACCAAGTTTCATCAAAATCTGTCAAGATGTAAGCCTTCTAGAATGTTTACACGCTAAAAATGGAACTCGTTTTTAAGAACAAAGGCAATAACTATTACTAAATATTTTTCGATTCTTCTGATTTTCCATAGGGTTCATCATTAATAGCAAACTCTCACACCAAGTTTCGTCAAAATCCATCAAGAATTGTACCTTCTAGAGTGTTTACAGGCTAAAACTTGAACGCATTTTTAAGAACAAAGGCAACAACTCATACTAATTATTTTTCTGATTTTCAATAGGGTTCATCCTGGGGTGATAACGAACAGTCACATTAAGTTTTGTCAAAATTCGTCAAGAATTGGGTCTTCTAGAGTGTTCACAAGCTAAAAATTAACGCATTCTCATGAACAGGAGCAGCAACTCCTACTAAATATTTTTTTATTTTTCTTTTTCTGATTTTCAATAGGGTTCATCTTTGCGTGAAAACGAACACTCACATCAAGTTTCGTCAAAATCCGTCAAGAATTGTGCCCTCTAAAGTGTTTATACGAGCGAGCTAAAAATCTAACGCGTTTTCAAGAACAAGGGCAATAACTCAAGCTAAATATTTTTCGATTTTTCTGATTTTCAATAGGATTCATCCTTGGGTGATTACAAACACACCAAGTTTCATCAAAATCAAGTCAAGAATCGTGCCTTCTAGAGTGCTCACAAGCTAAAAATTAACGCATTCTCAAAAACAGGAGCAGTAACTCCTACTAAATGTTTTTCGATTTTTCAGACTTTTAATAGGCTTTATACTTGGGTGATAACAAACACTCATGCCAAGTTTCGTCAAAATCCGTTAAGTATTGTGCGTTCTAGAGAGTTTACGAGCTAAAAATGGAACGAGTTTTTAAGAACAAGGGCAATAACTCATACTAAATATTTTTCGATTCATCTGATTTTCAATAGGCTTTATCCTTGGGTGATAACAAACACTCGTGCCAAGTTTCGTCAAAATCAGTCAAGAAGTGTGTCTTCTAGAGTGTTTACGAGCTAAAAATTGAACGCGTTTTCAAAAACAAGGGCAATAACTCATACTAAATATTTTTCGCTTCTTCTAATTTTCAATAGGATCCTTGGGTGATTACAAACACTCACACCAAGTCTCGTCAAAATCCGTCAAGAATATTGTGTCTTGTAGAGTGTTTACGAGACGGGCGGACATGGGTGACCGCAATATACGCCCCTATTTCATGTGGGCATATAAAAATCAGATAAAAATTGTAATCACTATGGTTACCAGCCCCGTCGCTAGGGTGGGGCCCACGGGGGCTCGGCCCCAGCAAGCGAAAATTGAGCCCCAGTAGCTCTTTATTTTCCCTTGCCTCAGACGCGTGAATTCCTATCCGAAATAAGTGCATCCGTGTAACGGCCAAATTAACTGTCGTTTGTAATGTTTTGTTTCATTTTTTGGAGTTGTCTTTCTTGTTTAGAACACGTCTTGATAATCTAGTCTTAAATCGGTTAACCGGGTACGTTTTCTGAGAACATCTTCCTGACCAAAATGAGAAGTTTTAACGGTCTATAAAACGGTTAGAATTTTTTTTATTATACAGTTCTTTTATTTGCATAAGTTTTTGGAAACACCTTGCATTTGGCATTTAAAGTACGTTTTTGCCCTAAGAGCCAGGCAAATCTAAAAATAGTAACTTCAGGTTTGACATGCGCATTGATACTTGAGATTGTCATTTAAAGCTGGAGTCCCTCTTAAACTACTAAAGATGGATACCTCTCTATTAGTTTAAATCCATTAATAAAAAATTGTTATATTTGTTTTCAGCAAATCTTGCCTGATGGTTAGATGTTAAATGGTTATGTAAATATGGAAAAAAAAGAACGAGATTTCGTTCTCATTCACCCGTATTCAATTGCCTCAGTTGTACAGTCTGCTATAAGAATCGTTTCTAATGCAATCACGGTTGAGCTTCCAACCGTTGGGAAATACGAAAGTAAGCCTTAGTCATGTTTCGAAAAGTTCGTTGATTGCACCAACTGCAACGTCTGCTGGTTGCACTAACCACAATTCGGCTTTAGGCCTATCCAGTTCTTATACCCAACTGACTTGGCCAGTCTAGATCAAAAGCCATGTCAGTTGAAATTGGCTGAGTATGCACCAGTTGTTAAAACAAAGTCACTTTAGAAGACAGGGATCGAAAATCAGAATAAACCATGGTTTGATAAGTTCCCTTGGGTCGAATTTTCTGTTGAGAATTTTTTGCTTTTTGTTACTGTTGTCGACTGTTTCAATCCTGAAAACACTGCTAGTCGACAAACAGTTGGAAAAACACCGTTACTATCTAAAATCGATTGTGGAAGTGATTCAGTTTGTGGCCGTAAATTCTCTACCACGCAGGGGGGTGGGGGGGGGGGGTGCGGAATGCGCTTTCGACTTTGATGAAGAAGTCGACGATATGCCATCGGGATTTTTGTACGCCTTTTTGAGTACACTATTAAGAAAGATCCGCTCCTTCAGGAAGCCATCAAGTCAATCCCCGGGAACGCGAATTACAGGTCGCCAGGCATACAGAATGAAGTCATCCAGATTTTGAAAGATATAGTTTCAGATATGCTTTCCGCAGAATTCCTTTTTATACCATTAAGTCAGACGGGGCGAGAGACAGACAGAATATTGAGCACGTATCAGTAGTCATTCGATATGTGCGTAACAGTGCGACAATCGAAGAGATAATATCAATGACTCAAACTGAGAAGTGTGACGCAGCAACATTAACAGATGTCATACTGTCACGTATTCGAGAGGTTAGTCTTGATCCCCAAAATATCCTCTCCCAGTGCTACGATGGCGCGAGTGTCATGTCCGGGAAAGATAGTGGTGTACAGAAAATTCTCAAGGAGCGTCTCGGTAAAGTGATTCCATACGTCCACTGCTTCAACCACCAGCTCCACCTCGTGGTGATCGACACAATAAAGAAGGTAGACGAAGCAGGTATCTTTTTCGATATGTGCTCTAAGACGTATAATTTCCTGCGGAAGCCAAGATTAGCCAGCGTCTATGACGGTACCAAGATCAAGCGCCTACTGGATCAAAGATGGACCGGACATTTAGAAACAACGGAGGCTATTGTACGTAATTGTGCGCAGATAATCAATGTGTTAGAGAAATGTGAAGATTTCAGGGATGCCGATCTCAGCGTTGAAGCTATGGGTGCAAGGCTTTTCCATCTGTATATAGGGCCTACACTCTATGCAGGTGCGATTGTTTTCGGTGCTAGTACGGCCGTGTGCGAATCATCATTTTCGGCATTGAAACGGGTTCTGAATCATCATCGTGACTCTATGACAAACTGCAGAAAAGGAAATCTTATTCTAATGGCGTTCGCCCAAAATCGCACTCAGGCTGTTGACATGGAATCGTTTTTACAATTATTCGCTCAAAGCAATCGCCCCCTGCGTCTGTATTGATAATCGAAGGACCGATAATTAAATTCTGCAAAAAGTCTTGACTTGACTGCAGATTAAGTAATAGCCCTAGAGTGTATTATGGTACCGTGTGGGGGACATCGTAGAATACCCGAGGAATTGGTAGGACCTGATATTTTGTCTCACCTAGATACAGTTGTCATTTTATTATACATATGATATATTCCTTTAACCTCAAGATAGTATTCTTCATTTTATTTCATATATGTGAAATCTAACTCAAAGCGGTAAGGGCTTTTGGGCGAGCAGACTACCTGTATATTTTTTTCGGTCGCATAGATCATATTTATTTTCGTTGAATATCCGTCATATACCAAACTTTCGTATCTTTTGGCTTTTATTTTTACTTAAGTTACTAAAGCCCTCTTGAACGTTCGTCAAATTAACCCCCCGAACACCAGTTTTAAAATCAACTTCCTCTCATATTCGTAAGGTAGATAACTAAGCTTATAACATGAGCCGTATAGTCAAAAGTTAGTGGGAAAATTATGTGTTGTCTGTTAAAAAAAAAAACAGGTATTGGATTGTCACCCTTTAGACACTTCGACCATTATTTAGACTAAACATCAATCGACTCAAATTAGTTAAGTTAGATAAACTGTTTGACTTTTCTAAAATATTTCATCGGTTGATAAGAGTTTGGTATTTCCTTATCATCGAATTGAATTGGTTATCCCAAAACATAAGAATCTACCACGCTCTATGGTCGATTTGTCTTGTCACACAACTGGCTGGTAATGATGACTTGTCCAATGAAAACAAGGTTCTTCAAAAAAAAAAAAAATGAATGGAAAAATTTATCGAGTGGAATTGATTAATTTATTTTTGCAAGGGCGTACAAGGCGTTATTAAGAATTAATTTATTAAAATGTAAGTAAATATACCCAGATACAACTGAAAAGGAAAAACAGTGAATTACATTATACAAAGTAGGAATGTTTCACTGTTTCTTCACTTCTACTTCTGTCGTCTATCTAATTATTTGTAAGTCGTGCTGTCTGAATGGATTTCAATACAATATATTTATTATTGGTACGTAGCAGCGATTTAAAGACCTACTAGAAAATAATTTTTTCTGTGGCAGTTTATTTCCTTTCCTGCTACCTAGGCTACAGTATAGGAAATTTACATTCTAAATTCTGTTGTTGTTGTCATTTCAGGTTATATTAGCATAGACCTAGTAGTGGGTTAGTATCAGTCACCATGGATAGAAAACGGAAAACAGATACTGATGGATATGAAGGTACCTACAGCTCTGATGACGAAGAATCCAAACATGATGCTTTTTCAGATGATTATAGAACCACAGAACCCTGTAACCTGAAGCATCAAAAACATAATCATAGTGAAATTGAAAAAAGACGAAGAGATAAAATGAACACATTTATTGTTGAATTGTCTGCTTTAATACCAATGTGCAATGCTATGAATCGTAAATTGGATAAGTTAACTGTTTTAAGAATGGCAGTTCAACACATGAAATTTCTTAAGGGTAGTAATAAATCATACTCAGAAGCACGACCAGAGAATTCAATCTTGTCAGAGGCTGAATTAACCAGTATGTTACTTAAAATATCAGATGGATTTTTATTCGCTGTGAGTTGTGATAGAGCTCGCATTTTATATTGCTCTAAATCTGTCAGTAAGATATTAAACTATTCCCAAAAAGAATTGATAGGACAGAGTTGGTTTGATATTCTTCATCCTCAAGATATCAATAAAATAAAAGAGCAACTTACAACTTCAGACTTATCTCCAAGAGAGCGACTTATTGATGCCAAAACTATGATGCCTGTAAAAACTGTATTTCCTAAATCTTCACAGCAGTTAAGTTCTGGTGCCAGACGATCATTCTTTTGTCGAATGAGAATTGGCAATAAATCAACGAATTCCAGTTTAAGTGTCACCAAAGGAAAGTTAGATTCGGAGAACGTTAGTTCACATAAAAAGAAAAAAACAGAAAGGAAGCATTTTTCACGAATATATTGTAGTGGTTATGTGAAAATGTGGCCCATGTCTCAAGTGAACATTGATGAAGAGGGTGAAATAGATCAAGATAGTTTAGGTTGTCTCGTTATTATTGGACAGAATCAATCAAATATTGAAATTAAACCCCCAGTGAATAAACCAGATGTGGCGGTTAGACCAGTGGAGTACTCATCCCGAATGACTGTAGATGGTAAATTTCAATATGTAGATGATAGAGCTACTCTTATATTAGGATTTCTGCCACAAGAACTAATAGGTAGTTCCGTTTATGAGTATTATCATCCTAAAGATATTATGTATCTTGCTGACATCCACAGAAAAGTTTTGCAGGCAAAAATGAAAATAAAAACAAGACCCTACAAATTTAAGATTGGAGAGGGAAACTTTGTTACTCTACAATCCACACTATTTGCCTTTAATAATCCATTTACAAAAGAAATAGAATGTATTGTTTCTAATAATAGACTAGTAACAGAATCAAATGTGTCACATTCAGGAGTCACAGACCCATTCGAATCAGCAATGAAATCATTTCCATCTAGCTCTGGTATGTCACCTGATAAATTGTTCAGATTTGGTGCTGGTAATAGTGACCAGAATAAAGAAATGATGACCATTAGTGGTGTATCAGATCTAAATAAAGATGTTTGTGCTGGTGATTATAGTAGAATAAATAAAGCCATTGCAGAAGCTGATAGTAGCAGTGGTGAGGGCTCTAGTTCCCAAGTACCTACAGTAGATATTAATATACCATCTTCTAGTCAGGTGGCTACTAACCCTAGGAATATACCACCTGTAGAAACACAGCAGTCAACATCCTCTTCTACATTAGATACCACATTATTACATGATGTAATACAAGAACAAGTGGAAGACATGCAGAATCCTGGTAATGGTAATGATGAAGCAGCACTAGCTTTTCTCATGAGTTTGTTAGAGGCTGATTCTGGATTAGGTGGTCCTGTTGATTTTAATGACATTCCTTGGCCTCTGTAGATTTTATAATATGAACAAAGGGTAATTGTACATCATGTTGTCAACTGCAGTGCTTCCAATTTTATTATTTGTGTAACTCTAAGATGGATTACATTGCATGTAGAAATATTAAAACGGAACCTAAAATATGCACACAAGAAAAAAAAAACGCACACTCTGAGTAACAACATGTTTCAGGTTCCATTGTAATATTTCTATTTTGAGTGAAAATACCTTGTTATTGTATTATTACAGTGCATGTAACTTTCAACTGTTACCAACAGTGTCTTGAGTTCTTTTTGTGAAGGAATTACTACTTATATATCCCCAGACATGTTGGTAAACAGAACTGTTGGTTAAAATGTTTATTATTGTCAAGTATTTACTATGATTGCATATTTTGTTTGTACCACTGTGATTATATATTGTTATATATACTTCCTAATAAGCTATATTTCATAATATATTTTTATGTAAAACTGTTATTGTAAATCTAGTGATTCAGTCCTCTAAATTATTTTTCTGTATTGTTAACACTGATATTGTGATTATGAATTACATTTATGGGTAGTATGTTAAAGTATACTTTTATAACATTGTTGGAAAATACATTCAATATTAAGGTTGAATGGAAAACTTGTCATTTCTGGAGAGACATTAAAAATACAAAACTTTATATTACAAAATATACAATTTCAAAATTTTTTTCAAAAAATGTTGTGCTTTACTTTGAGTCTTGGCTTTTGGTGAGAGATTTTTACAGGTTTCATTAAATATATCACAAAAATAAAAATACATAAGTCTGAAGTAAAAATTTAGGGAGCCCCTTTCATATGAAAAAGTTATTGTTGTTATTATTTGTTGTTAGTTGAAAAATTAGAAAATGTCACAGTTACATTGTTTTAATTGCTCAATGGATACTGACCAAATGTTTGTGCAATATTGCATCGAGTTCAGTGCCGCCCTGCCTGTAGGGTGGGGTCTTGGCACTAGCAAGTGAGAATTAAGCCCAAGCAAAACCTTCTTCAGTTCAACAGAGAATGATTCATTTATACTGTCTTTGTACAAAATCAAAAAGACAAATTTTTTGATACGCTTTTGGCTCAACAAAATCGGGTGGGCCTTTCATTCTTCAAATTTTGAGTACAAAATCTGAGACCCAACACTAATTCATTCCTGGCGACGGGGCTGATTCAGTGATATAATGTGGTTTGTTCTTTGTTGATGTTACTTAATATTCAGATAAAAATAAATTGAAATACTCATAAATAAAGACCATAAAGGTCAATAAATGTTCAGATTGTGGTGTTGTGTACATGTCAAGAAGAATTTATGTAAACAAAAAAATCTTTATCATTAGATAGTATATAAAAATGATCAATATATTTTCTCAAATGATGTGGATAAATTAACTTAGATTTTGGGTTGTATTCTGTTAAATAAAATAGTAAACCAAAATCCATGCTTGTAAGACATTGAGAAGTATCACAGCACATTAAGAAACAACATTTTATGGATATAAACTTCTATTTATGAATCATCACTTGAGATGTATGTATCTGTAATGAAACGTGGTGCTAAAATAATGAATAGAATGTCCATAAAACTGTTGTTTCTTAAAACGAAATCAAGTTGGATATCACTGGCAAAGATGGGAAAATGTAAGTATGTGAACTTAACCTGCTCAAAGTTTCCATAGTCCATGAAGAAAAAAAAACACACATTAATATAAATGTTATAGTTTTCTCAGGCAGCACTACATTTTATAATTAATTTTCATCAATATGAAGCTCTAAGAATCAAATTATCAAAGTCTTTTCAAGCGGAATTATCATCATATTACCATAATGTTTAAAGATACTTCATTGGCTAAATTTCACAGAAGAGTGCAAATTTATCTTTAATTCAAATAGTTACCGTACTTTGAAGAATTTAAGGCCTTGTATAATAAATTTAACAGTACTGGGGGGAAAAAATGTTGAAAGGATATATTTACCTTTTCTTTTTCTGCCCAGGAGTCAATGACATCAGACGAAAAATTGAAATATTTTGGAACTTGCAAGGTACTGGTACTATATCTAAACCTACTTGATGTAGAACCAGTTAAAATATGGTCAGTTGAGTTTGTAATAATACAAAAATTCTTGTTGGTTCTGATTTGTGAAGAAGTCCATATTCTGGTTAATCTTTGAAGTCCTATTGGCATATTGTATATCTGAAACAAACCAGTTTTTTTTTATTCTTGTAAAACATGTGTCAACTTATTTATTGAAGAAAAGGGCTTTCATTTCGGCTGGCAGACAATGTTTAAATTTAAGATTTTTGGCCTATATTAGAAGTGACTTAACAGAGCGTGCGCAAAATTTTCATTATCAAAAAATTCACAAAATATACCTGAAAATATTTACATCTATGTATTTTACTTGATCAAACTGAATTTGTTTTTAAAGGGTTAATTAAAAACGAAGATTGTTATTATTAACAAATTAACAAACTGTTAATTAAGCAGTTAAACCTAGTTTTAGTGTTAGCTATATAATGGCTGTATATTATTAGCTGAAACTTTAAAAGTACCCAAGATACATATTTCTCTACAATTTGAGCTAAAAACCTACAAAAAAATGCCTCTTTAAGGAGTTTCAATTAGAAGAAACAAGCTGTACCAAAAACAGTTAAATTCTTATATCCTTATATTGTATCCTTATACAGCTAGGCCCCTAAATAGGCCTGCACAATTTGGTTTTAATTTTGATAAAAAAGATAACAGCATGAATGACAAAACATCTCAACAACCTCAAGTTGTTAAGAAGTAAGATGTACTGCATTATAATATGTACAGTAGGCATACGACTGTGAATATACTATTTATACTATAGTATTATTTGTGTTAAACGTCACATAAGCTTCGTCTAGTCTAATAGCTATTTGATTATTCAAAAAGCATATATATTATTTCATAAGAAAAATTGTTCACTAACCTAACACTAACACTTCCAATTTATTTCGACTTGAGACATTTGTTAAGATTATAAATTCTTTGACCTATTTTATAAAGAGCTCAAATTTGTAGACCACAAATAGTTTGTAATAAAAAAAATCTGTAGTTATCTCCCATGAATTACTTTTTTCATTATTGAGCACATACTAAACGACGTAGGTTCCTATATGGAAACACTATTATTTCGAGTTCGAAACGTAGGTCTATGGAACGAAATGAAGAAAGAAAATACTCCAGGTAGTCGTTTGGGGTCTCTTAGAAGAAGGCAGAATGGTAGAAATGTGATTCCGAAGCTTATAGTATATATAAGTTTCGCAGTGACGGCAATGTCGTGATCTCAGCTATCAGATAGGCTATTGTAGAAGTCTGGTTGAAGGCGGTAGAATCTCTTAGTATCAGGATCGCAACGTGCGATAAAAAATTTTTGTATAAGAAATTAAGGGCCAATTTCTTAATTTTGCCACAGGTAAAAGTCCACTTAAATCCTTCAACAAAGTCCACCCTGTTCCCTTACTAGGACCAATCTCACAATTCACAGATTCTTATGGAGCAACTTAATAACAAGAGACTGGTAGGGCCTAGACTGACCCTACAATTATAAGTCATATCAATAATTAATACTAGAAAACGTTCTTGAAGTGACAGTCTCAATTCCAGAATTTGATTAGACTTTTTAAAAAGGCGGGAATTATTTCAAGGTCAACAATAAAAGTATAGCTGACCTGCACTTAAGTTCTCATCTAGGCCTAAACTTGACTAAATGTAAAGGGAGATTTGTTATTTATTGTTTTATCCATATTAAGCTATGATCGTAGGCCTACATAATAATATAAGGCAACGGAAATGTATGTGGACAATGCCATGCGAAAGATTGGCGCGCGTAGGCCTATCATTGATTAATATTTGGGTAACATCTACAAATATGGACAACTACTATGGTGAGACAAGATTCCTCTGCCTTTGTGAGTCTTGGATTTCAAATCTCTAGATAATAGTATAAATTCGTGAAAAACAGAATAAACCAGGTAAAATATGCGATAGGCTTAAGTTTTTAATACGAATTCTTAAGTTAATTGACATAAGCCTATAATAGCCTACGTGTATCAAAACAGTGGCCTAGGCATTACTCCAGTGGTACAACGTATTTGGGGGCCCGCGGAATTCAGTTGGATGGGTTTGGGTACTTCCCTGAGAAATTACTTTTAACGTATGCTCGTGCATTCTGAGACCCATTTTGTGGGGGTCCCGCTCCTTAGGGAAGGGTGCCCGTTCATCAGTTCCTGTTGTAATTTAGCCTGTGGGCCTACTATTTGCTTTAGCCATGCGTTAATTAATCTATATTTTAATATGTTTTCTTTCCAACTCATTTTCGGATCTTGGAATTTCAGGCGTTGGATCGCGGGGTACTAGTTTGTGATATAGGCTTACTTGAAGAAACTGACAGGTGCCCGTATTCTAATATGGGAATAATGGTCACATGACTGTTTATAACCAATCAAATTGCAAAGATATCATGCGCAAGAGTTATGCGCAAAGAAATAGTAATGACAACAAATATGCCGTCTGAAGCCCCTCTCCTACAAACAGAGGTAGAAAAACCTCAACATTTTACGTAAGTACAAAAATGAATAGTTTAAAATGCATAGAAATGGCAGAAGAAAACTTTGAACGTGTTGTCATCAGCATTTTTATATTATCTTCTTCTAGATATTTGAAAGAGTTTCGAACACAACAATGTCCGTTATTTCTACAACACAAGTGTACACTGCATCGACCCTTCACCTGTTTTCACTGGCATTTTTTAAACCAGCGACGTAGACGACCAGTACGGAGACGAGATGGGACATTTAATTATAGTCCGGATATATATTGTACTAAATATGATGAAACTACGGGGATTTGTCCAAATGGAAACGAGTGAGTATTATTGAGGTTCAAATTTGGTGGGACATTTCTTTAAAACATCCATTATTTATCCTAAATTCTGCGTATAGAGCATTGATTTGGCCTCTACGAATTTCATTACTAGACTCTCAATCGCCTTGCACAATGTGTAAAGGTTTTCGATGGAATTTAGATCATTATCTGTTGTTTTTATGCGAGTTCAGGTCGTATTTCCTATTTTGACATGATGTAAACAAAAATGGCCGCCATCTTGTTCTATTTAGATCGGAACAAAGTGGTACAATTACAAACATATTTAAGCTTCCAGCTTGTCGGCTTTTACAATGTATTTCTTTGATCTTTCGGTTAATGTACTTGGCAAAGGATTTAGAGACATTTCAGCAGTTGACACTCTAATTTCTTTGTCGACATATCGGTGAATGTTTTGTGTTTGAATGGTATTTTGACAAGCAACATAGAGTCAGCACGTTTTGTTGTCAGTAATGTTATAAGACTGTCAAAATTTCATTTTTAAAGATATACACCATTGGTGAACAATATTGTTAAATTTATTTACTGGTTTTTGCTATAGGTTCATTTTGTATTTGTATGTTGAGTTATAAGCTTTATTTGAACTAAATATAAGAAATATTCTTTGTTTTGTTATTTATTTATCAGCTGGGGTAAAAACTGGGTCAGTAAATAGCCTTGACCTTGGTAATAGTTTCTGTATTGTATTGTCTGTTGGTGCTGATATATATTGAAAATAATTCAGAATCTCTCAGAATTGTTCTGACCCACCTAATCCCCTATCAGACAACAATACAACTCATTACAGACTGAGCTATTCCACTGATTATACTTTGCAAATTCTATGTTCGCCTTGAAAGTCATGAAAGTAATGCATTTTCCTTTTAATTCCTTTTCCTAATTCTTTATCAAAATGCAATAGATTAGAGATATATATTCCATGATATATATTTCTTTGCTAAGACTAATAAATACTTTTTTATTTGGATCTAGTAATTTTTTGTGGACAAAAAGCAAGAGAATATCCTTGTACACTTGATTGTAATTTCATATTCATGGTATTTGAATTTCCTGCATAGCAGTTAATATTGAATTTACAAATATTATATACCAGTATTTTAAAATGAGTTATATAGAAACTTTGTACAAATCAGAGAAGAAATGTTGTTTAACTATCTGTGTATTCCAGTTGTCCCTATTTACATAGAACAGCAGGTGATACTGAGAGAAGATATCATTTAAGATATTATAAAACAGGAACTTGTGTGTATGAGACTGACCCAAGAGGACATTGTGCTAAAAATGGACCACATTGTGCTTTTGCTCATGGTGCAGGTGATTTGAGACCACCAGTATATGATATACATGAATTAAAGACTGTTGATCAGATAGATTTAGAAACCATATCAACTTCTCCTAGTAGTTTAGAAAAAGAACAAATTTTATCAGAAGATCCTAAGTGGAATGGTAAGTGGAACTATGTTAATATAAAATTTCACGATTCTTGTTTGGGTTCATGAGAAAAAAAGAGTTTAACCTAAACTGTGCAATGTGTGTCAATTTACAGAGTTATATTTCTACCCAAGACGTATTGAATAATTAATAGTGAAAATAATTTAAAAATCAGATAATTTTTGTTAAATTTATTTACATTAATAAACAAAATTAACATCATAATAATAAAAAGAGATTTATTTTTGATTACTGAGTTAAAGAATTTAATGACAATTCTTATGAAGCATGTACACACTTCATCTTGAATTTGTGGACTATTTTAATTTTTAGTGAGACTTCCAAGGTGAATTTGTTAATAAGCTAGTTTACTTTTGTGTACCTTAGTGTACTAGGACCTGTGCTTATTTAACATATTTAGTGTTGGTTTGGCCTAAATTGGAAGTTAAAATTGATGAATGAATGAAGTGAAGACCACAGTTTTGATAAGATTTTGATGACTTTGTTTTATTCTGAAATTTCACTGTGATATATGTAGGATATCATCCTTTACAGATAACAAAAATATTTCAGACATTAGTCATTTCAAGAGCATCATTATGGCTCAATATTCATGATAGTTGTTCATTGTTTCAGATACAAATTATGTATTGCATTATTATAAAACAGAACCCTGTAAACGTCCTCCAAGATTATGTCGTCAAGGCTATGCATGCCCTCAATATCACAATAGTAAAGACAGACGAAGATCACCCAAAAACAATAAATATAGGTAGGTGAAATCTTTTTTACTAATAAAATCTAAAAAAAAAAGTTGTTTTTAAACAGACCAAAGTAAGTAGTTGAAAATATATGTAAAAATTTTGAATAAGATGTTTTTAATTTTGAAGGTCAACACCTTGTCCTAATGTTAAACATAGTGATGAATGGGGCGATCCTACATTATGTGAAAGTGGTGATAGTTGTCCTTATTGTCATACTAGAACTGAACAACAATTTCATACTGAGGTTAGTTTAACTATTATCATTGATCAGTGTATTATACAAATTTACTGCTTTTGATTAAAGTGAAACAGAAATAGAAAACTACCAAACTCTAAAAATTATATCTTGAATAAAGAATGACGATAACAGTTAAAAATGTCTTTTGTTGATCTAATTATGGAAAATTTTCTTTTGCAACTTAATTATGGAAATCAAAATTGAAGCTGATTGAAGTCCAAATGAAAAACATGTGTGACCAATTGTTAAGCAAATTATGAATTCAATTAAAATCAATCAATTGATTTACTTATATCATCTTTGATAGGAATTAGATGAACATTTCTTCAGTCAAAGTATATTACTATATATTGTTATCTTTCAGATTTACAAATCAACTAAATGCAATGATATGGTGCAGAGTGGATACTGTCCAAGAGGACCTTTCTGTGCATTTGCTCATGTTGAACGTAAGTGATTTCTTCTTAATTTTATTGTTTCACACTTGTTTAATTTCACTTGTAGTTTCTTACAAAAAATAAATAAATATTTCTTGGATCTATAAGTTTGAAAGTTATCCAAATGCCATATAAACATAATCATTCACATCTTTAAGGTAATGAAGTAGAACTTGCATGTAATAGTTATGATCTTTTTATAGAGGAGATGACATCAGAAAGGGAAGTAACTCCATCAAGTGATAATTCATTAGCAGCATTCTTTACTAATGCTCTGCCCAATACTGGTCATGATCATAGTGATAAAAACAATGCAAAGAAGGTAATATTTTACCCTTAAGATATTGATATTTCGAAGGGTTTTGGAATTCTGGTTACAAATGACCATGGTAAATACAGGTGTCAAATTCATTATACATCCTATCATGCATCTGAATGCCACTTAGTATTCTACTGAGTGATTCACATATACTGGAGTTTATAGTATCGGTCTGTCATACTCTAAGATTATATTTAGATCCCTGATCCTGATGACATTAATTACCAGACACTCAGATTTAATCCTAAAGAACACACTAGAACATAATTGTATTCAAGAATGAAATACATGGAGTATCAAGCAAGATATGTAGTAATGTACAACACTCTATTTCTGTTTATATAAGTGATAATTACCATGATAATTGTAGGAAGAAAATGGAAAGCATAGTATATCTAGTATAAGATTACCAGATCCTATTGGTAAAGAAAGGACAAATAGTTACAGCTCAGTGAGTAGCATAACAATACATTTCTCTGGACACACTTTATATTGAAAAATTTCTTCCTATTACACTAGATCAGAGCATGACATTTTTGGAAAAGCTTAGGTTTGAAATAAGGTTTGAAATGTGCAAAACCTATGGCTATATCCATATTTGAAGTAAGTAGGGACTTTTAAAGGGACAGATGCGCTAATTTGAGGTTTGATTTGAGTCTTGAATATATATAAATAGTCTTCAGATGTACTAGAAATGTATGAAAATTTCTACAAAAATATCAATTCTTTTCCTATTTCAATAGATGTCTTTTCTATATATGGCAGTGCCTCAAGAAAAGATGACTCTTCATGTTAACTTTCAAACTCAGTTCTGTACAAACATGGATTTAAATGCTCAAATTTCGACTAAAACTTTAATAATGTATTGGTTCATGGTATATTAGAACCCCTTTCATCAACTCCTTGAAAAAATTGCATTGGAATTTTCGTTGAATTATTTTTTCGTGTAATCTATCCAGAAGTAATCTATGAATAGTCTTCAGTAAAACATATTCTGTTTGAATTGAAATAGTTTTCATGTTGAAATCCATAGTTTCTACTTGTGACCTAGGCCAGTGGTTCTATTGGGGAGTATCTTCTATAACACCTCTAACTGATTGTCTGAGCTAAAAAAATTCATGTATCTGAGACTATGGTATGATTGGTCAAAAAAATCTATCTGTCTCTTTAAGTGATTTTCTCAATTTATGCTTCCATAAGTCTAGAAATGATCTAATGGATAAGCCATTTGCAATCTTGTATATTTAATTGTAGAGTGTTGGTAATGGAAGTTATATAAGCAGTAGTAGTCCACTACCTGAACCTATTGGTAAAGGAAGATCTAGTAGTGTATCCAGCAGTATTAGTTCAGATGTTGGAATGCCTTGGACACAATATCTCAGAGCTCCAGGATCTGAAAGAGATGATTTTCAGGTACATCTTAAATTAATGTTTATGTCATGTTTATGCATAGCTATTTCAAGTGGCATTGCACATGATTTACATTGCATATTTATATCTAAATCTATGTTTAAAAGCAAAGTTAAAACTGAAAATTACATTGAAAACAAACAATTTTCAGAACAAAGTTTATTCTGTCAATTTGTGGAATGTGATCTGATGATCTTTCATTACTTTCTGTAATATGGCCCAAGACTATTGCCTAAACCCTACTGATTGACAACATCAGTGGGAGGTGCTTTCCTTGTAATACATGAATATTATTAATGTACTACAAATTTTTGCAGCTCACCATTTGATTTCTGTGCTGTATCTTCTTTGGCTCACATTATTTTTACATACCATTGACAATATAATCTTGACATTTTTTTAAGGATATTGTCCTTCAGAGGTTTGAATTTTTTCAGGGAACTTTACGTAAACAATTACAAGCTATTGACAATGATCCTTCTATAGACACTAATGAAAAAAATAAAAGAAAACAGAATTTGGTATTATTACATAATTTAAATATGAGCAATGCTGTTCCTAGTGCCTTTAATACAACCTCATCATGTAGCCCTACTGGAACAGTTGTATCTAATTCCATGATGTCAGCATTAGCTCCAGCATTTTATCCTCCCGGTGATACTGTTGAAGCAGTTATTGGTAAGTTGGTTTCTTTTTCTCCCCTCCAAGGGCATTATTGTATTTTCTACGTTCTTTCTTTTAAATTTATTATTTTATTATCACGTATTGTATATGATGAAATGTATATATATTATCTCTTGCCATTCAAAACCATGACCACTCTAAAACTAAATAATCAATCTCTGGAGCTTGGCTCAAGATGTATATATATCTTTCAATTTTCTTTTCATACGCCCACTCGATAGAGTTTTAAAGTTTTTAAGAAGGGCAATAACTCTAAAACCATTCATCAGATCAAGTTTCATCCAGATCAGATAAAAACTGTAGCCTCTATCATGCCTACAAGCCAAAGTTGATGTGTTTTTATTAAGTTAAGGGTAATAACTCTCATCCGATTATAACCAATTTCAACCTTGACAGCGATCCCATCAATATATACACTCATACCAAGTTTGATAGCAAAAGAATGAACGGTTTAAAAGTTATTGCCTTTGTATATACATCAATGTTTGAATTTGGTGAACTGTTTCGCGTTAGCTTATAAATATTTTTAAGACTATTTGAAAATTCATTATGAAGCCACGAAAGACTTTTTTGTCATTTCTGATAGCTGTTAGTGAGCGTATGTTACCTTGTCTGGCAGGCTATCTTTGTAAATTTTGCAGGTAAAGCTCTAGATGATATAAGTCTAGATGATTTTGATATTAATAGCTTAGATAAAGAATTTGATAATGATAATAATTCAGTCAGTAGTAGTATTAGTTGTGGTTTATCAGCGTCTGGTTGTCTAGGATCTATATCAGGACCTATTGGTATACCACCTAATAAAATACATCAAAGAGGTAGTGTTGGTAGTCTCTCTCAATCACCACCCTCACCATTTGGTAGCTATGTTCACTCTATGCTACCTTTACATCAAGTACCAAAAGAAGAACAGGTAATTTAAAAAATTTTGTAAAAAGTTATCTTTTCCTTTTTATAGACTCTTTTGAAGATCTATCCATCAAATTAAACAAAGGACGAATTTTGACAATGTATTTTATCATATTAAACTACATATGGTTCTTAATGGAAATAACATACACGAATGTAGTTCATAGACATTTTGAATCCCCAGCTCGACTTAACAAGTTAAATTTTTAAAGATGCTATAAAATTGTAACAAAGTCAACTGTGATTTGAAGGCTTAGTTTTAAAATCATGCCCTTTATCAAAATTCGACTCATTAAGTCTAGGTAGAGATTCAAATGGTTGTGAACTACATTTGTGTGTGTTATTTTCATGTAAGAACCTTACTTAGATACGATGTGTATCTATGTGGGCTTTAATGATTAAACTCGTACATCTTTGTATCTAGCAATGAGATTATAATTATTTGTGTTCCTTATTTCAGTTATCAAGTCCTTTTTTAGGTCATCCTAGCAGTAGTAAATATCCTAATTCTTTTACTGAAATCAACTCTATGTCTCCTCGTAGTGCTGGTCCACAATCACCACATAGCTTATATAATAATAATAATCACCATAATAATAATAATCACAGTGGTGATAGAATAAAAGATTCCAAAACTAAAATAACAGATATAGAAACAGTATTTAGAACAGTAAGTAATATTATTTCTGAGGTACTTCAGAACATTGAATAGACTACAGAGTACAGACTACAGTTTCTGATTTAAATGAAATTTAGTGTGAGGATTTGTTATGATGAAATCTAAACAAGTTTAAATTTGACAATTTTTTGATGAACATTTTTCGAGTTATTTCCCTTGACTTAGTCAAAATGCTATAATTATAGCTATAATAGAAGCTATAATTTGAAATGGATTTAAATGAAACTTACCCTTGCCCTTGACATAGTAAAATTGCGCGTCAAAAATTGTTTGTGGGCACAATGGAAACTAAAATTTTTCGATGGATTTTGATGAACTTGGTGTGAGCTTTGGAATTAACATGATCTCGGTCAGGTTGGAATTGAAATTGACGACTTTTCGACAAACAGATTTTGAGTTATTGGCCTTGACTTAGTAGAATTGGGTCAAATTTGTTTGTGAGCACTATAGAGACTACTGTTTTTATACGTCCATATGAAAATGTGTAAACATTCACAAAAAAACTAGATTGTCCTAAAGTCCAACATTTTTCAAGAGCACGAAGGGGGCTTTTGTGCTCTTGAAATGTTATTATAGTTTAGCTCTTATAGTTTTTACCATAGCATATTTTTTTTTTTTGAATGTTTACAAATTTATAAGATCAAGTTCAAATTTGATCATTTTTCAATGAATTTATTATGAGTTATTGCTCTTGACTTGGTAAAATCACATCAAAATTTGTTTGTGGGCACAATAGAAGCTACATTTTCAACCGATTTTGAACTTTGTGTGAGCATTGAAATTGATAAGATCTCTGTCTAGTTTGAATATCCAATGAACGGTTTTTGAGTTATTACCTTTGATTTAGTCAAAATCCATAAAATTTGTTCGTGACATCTGATTAAAGTGACATTTTGGTGTGATCATATATATTGATGAGATGTTGAACAATTCGAATTTTTTTGTTGAAAGGTTAAACAGTTGTTTAAGTCAAACGCATCAAAAACACATATAATTTTGTGTGATTACATGTTTGTTTTATATATTGGAAATGTTTTTGAGTTATTGCCCTTGACTTAAATCATTTCAAATTTTTTCATGCGCTCAAAAGATTCGATTTTTCATACCATTTGAAATTTTGTGGATCATTGGAATTGATAAGGTCTTGAGTAAGGAGTTGATTACTTGAGTATTGGATAGAAACTTGACAGATTAACCATTATGGTTCATGATGCTCCTTATTGAGTCGAAAAATTTGACAAAGCTTTTGTGTGGACATATGATTAATTTGCCTGGCAAGCTACAGTAAAATGCTGACTTTGGTGTTTCTATATTTAAAATGTGAATTTTTGACCTATGGTAATAAGATATCAATGTATAAATGTTCTTTTACAGGCATGTGATAATTGGAAGAAGGCAGCTGATGATTCGTTATTAAAAGCTAAAAAGGCTGATGAAGAAAAATTACATGCTGTTAAACAAAGAGATGAGGTTTGTAGCTGGCTTAGTCAAGATACATTACTAGAGACTTATATATCGTGGGTGACTGCTTGAAACCTCGTATATGCCATATTTTTTCATTTTGACATTTTGGTACCATTCGAAAGCTCGTAAAAGCGTGGATCTTGTGATCAAAGCCTCGTATTCTTAACTTGTAAATAACCCCAAAACCACTTATTAGATAACACGTATATAAACCATCAGATTATAAACCTCGTAAAATGTTATATTATGTTCAATGTCCTTTGGTTCAATAAGCCGGGTACTCAAATTGCTATACGAGGTTTTAAATTTTCAAAGAATGAAAACCATGTATAACGATTAAAAAAATAATGAATAGTTTTTTTAGTTTTTCTCAAAAAGTAATTTCGCATCATATATCCTTAAACGAGCTTTCACCCACGATATGGCCATTCAAGTGAATGTTTCATTATTTTATGTCTGAAAAGTAGCTGAAAATAAGTTCCATCAACTGGTGTAACTCAACATTAGACAACCATATCTTTTTTAAGACACAAATATCTTTTAATTGAATTTAAATGAATGTCAAACATGAGGTATAATGTTTAATTGTTTGAAATTGCTTAGGCAGAAGAAAATCGTATTTTAAAGCAACAATTTTGATACAACATGTGAATATCAAATTATAGAAAGGATTTATTTTATTGTAGGCTGTTAGTCAAACACAGCGTTTAAGACAAGAAATAGATAGATTAAAAGGTGGACCATATTTAAGGTGTTTAGTGAAAGCTAATGAAGTAGAATCTATACCTATAACACAATTACGACATATACGGCAGCAGTTACAATCAGATTTAGAAAGAATAGATAAGGTATATTACTTCATAACATTAATCAAATACATCACATTTCATAACTGGACTTGGGAGGTTTGATTATTATATTGGTTCAGATGACTGTAGACAAGGTGTTTCTTAATATTTTTGAATTTTCACTGCTCTTCTACATGTGTTTTATATTTTTATGTTGGTATTTTGAATAATAGTAAACAATAATTCACTATGCAATATCTCATAAATAAGAACAGAAGCAAAGAAGTCCACTGATATTTTCACAATATAGATAAGTATGTTATATATTTTTTTCAGGTGATAAGTGAATCATCTGTGAAATGTGTAGCTTGTCAAGATAAAACAAAGACTGTTACTACATTACCTTGTAATCACAGAGTATTATGTGATAGTTGTACAGCTAGGTCTAGAGAATGCCCTTTATGTCAAGTCAAAATAAATATTTCTCATGTGAAACCTTAATGATAATATTTCTTAGTTTAATTTATTAGTAATTACATTTATTATGTAGTGAATTTCATTCTAGCTTAAATTGACATTTATTATTATTAAAAACATGGATAAAATATTTCATTTTGAACATTTGCTTGGTAAAATTAATTTTTAGATCAAGTATAAAGTATATAACCCAGGGTTTTTAGCCAAGTATTTAAAATTTAAACATTTACAGCTATTGAAACTTACATAAGGTAGAATCAACCTAAAAAAGACTTGTTATGTAATGTCATATATTGGTTTATTGATAAACTGAAATAGCATTACTATTAATTATACCACATCTACAAAGGCATGTTAAACAGAGGACACTGTTTAGCCTAATACTTGCTGGTTAGTAACCATGCAAGTCACAATCCCTTCAATATATATTTCATTGTATTAGTATGTCTTGGTGCAATGGATTTATTATTTATGATAATTATTGTCAAATGATATGAAAAGATTGTTTTGTTTAAGAAAACTCATGTTATGTGTGAAATACTCTTGTTAGTTTCTTTTCTCTATATGAACCATTTTCTCGACTCTAAAAGTTATTATTAATCCTCTTTTGATGACTTTATTTTGAACTATTCAAATTTCCTGAAGTATATTGTTACAGTACAATTCAAAATCACAGAACTAGAAAGAAGAATTGCCGGCTTTCTCAGTTGCAACTTGGAATGGTTTTTTATCAAGATGTAAAAAATTCTACACACTAACATTTGAGAAAAATTCTGGACCCCAGCTTTAAGGCTGAGTTTGTATATAAGATAAAAGTCTTTTGTGGTTAAAATTTATGCAATGGATGTGTTTTTTTTGCACAAAAGAATCTGAATAAATTGTATAGTCAGAAATACTGTACTTTATTATTTTCAGATAATTTGAAGACTAGATGAGATTTCTTGATATTAAACTTATATTTAAGATAAGATGTATCTTAAAAAATCTAGGTGTGTTTTAGTAGCCTTTATGATTGTTCTACGTTTTTCACCTTTTACAAATGAAACACACATATTGAAGTATTTTCATATTTGCTAAAAATGAAAGTGAAAATTTCTATATTGTAAATGAAAATACCAATTCCTTCTATATTGTCAAATTGTATTGAGCCTACTTAATCAAAGAAAGTGCTATTTTATTTAATAGTATAGGGTTGTGCTATTATTCTATGTTTTTTCCTCTATATCATTATGGGTTGGCACAATATCTCATAGTGCTAATTTGTTTAATTGATAAATCTTATAATCTCACATTGCTTTGATATCACATTATGTTTAAGGTATATATTCAACATCTTAAAAATTCTTATACACTCATTAACAGCTCTGATCAAAGCAAGAAATATCCTTATCAATTTGAATCATACATCTGTAATATGGAGTGCAATACAAGTATAGTAAAGTTGATGGCTTATTCTTTTTTGCTTTGATGAGACTGGAATAATTTGCATATAGGCTAATGAAAATTTATATTAATTGCTTAAATCTATGTTAAAGATATATGCTGGTCATATATTATGTTTGTTACACCTTACCCTATTTGTCATTGTTCTCTCTGAACAAAGTCTATTGTACTATGAAAATTCAATGAATGGTGTGAGGTAATTGAAGGTACCAAGTTTGTGTCCAGTTAATGCCTGAAGAAATGATTGAAATAGGAAACAATGTGATAAATAACAATGAGTATCAGTATTAAAAACTAGTCATTATAGTCTACATTAATTAATCTGTTAATTACATTGACATTAAATTAATAGATCTTAATACTTGATAGACACTTTAACAATCTTTTCACACATCTTTTATATGATATACATGTTTTTTTTATGGATTACCAGTATGTGGTCTATAGCTGAAACTGTATCTATTGTCAGACGAGGTGTTATGAATGGTGTATATAGGAATCAAGATTATGATGGAGAACCACTAAAGAAAAGTTTGTGATAAAACAATATTATACTGTATATGTGTAAGAATTTCAAAATGGGTTTTGATAACTCATGTCAGACATTTTGAGAAAAAAAAAAGATTTCTTTGTTTTTATTTGTGTACTGCAGACGATATGCATAATTTCCAATGCCAAACATTTATCACAATTCGTATACTTCCATACCACACGAAATATCTTGTGTTACTAGCTAGCAGATTGTAACTCGATAACAGTTATTTCTTGTGGTGTGAGAGAGAACTTTTCTACCGCATAACAACATGTGCTTAGAACGCACCTCTGCAGCTTTAGACAGCAACTTGAGATGTTAAATATCCTGAAAATGGATATGAAGAAAAAAAATAAGCATATCTCGACATTCCATTGCCTTGTCTCTATTGAAAGTTTGAAGTCAAATGGTGCACCCAGTGTAAGGAATTTTGTGGGAAGCAAATATAGCTTTCGGGAACAAAATATAAAGTAAAAGATCTGGTGGTACTAAATATTCGCAAGATCATTATTCACCGGATCACGCGCTATTTATATATTTCGTTACAGGCCTATTGTGCAAAGAAGAATCAAAATATGTTTCATCAGATCATGCGCTATTAAGATATTTCTTTATATTGTGCAATAAAAGAATCAAAATGTGATTTATCGGATCACGCACTATGATATTTCGATACATTGTGCAATAAAAGAATCAAAATATGAATCATCGGATCACGCACTATTAAGATATTTCTTTATATTGTGCAATAAAAGAATCAAAATGTGATTTATCGGATCACACACTATGATATTTCGATATATTGTGCAATAAAAGAATCAAAATATGAATCATCGGATCACGCACTATTAAGATATTTCGTTATATTATGCAATAAAAGAATCAAATTATGATTTATCGGATCTCGTACTATGATATTTCGATATATTGTGCAATAAAAGAATCAAAATATGAATCATCGGATCACGCACTATTAAGATATTTCGTTATATTGTGCAATAAAAGAATCAAAATATGATTTATCGGATCACGGACTATTAAGATATTTACTTATATTGTGCTATAAAAGAATTAAAATATGAATCATCGGATCACGGACTATTAAGATATTTCGTTATAGTGTGCTATAAAAGAATCAAAATTTGATTGATTGGATCGTGTGCTATTAAGATATTACGATATATTGTGCAATAAAGAATCAATATAATATTTATCGGATCACATGCTATTAAAATACTGTCTTATATTGTGCAATAAAGAATCAAAATATGAATTATCGGATCACATATCCTTTTAAAATATTTCCTTATATTGCGCAATAAAGAATCAAGATATTATTCACCAGATTACATTTCATTAAAATATTTCGATGTATTATGTAATAAAGAATCACAATTCATCGGGTCGCGTGCTATTGAAATATTTAGATATACATTATGAGTTTTTGTCGGCCGATTTCATTTGGTTTTGATTTGCTAGTACGATTTGGCGCAATTTCGATTAGATTAGCATTAGAAAAATGGTTTGTACCCCACTTTGTTCTCAAAAAATATTAATGTCTACCTTTTTTCTTCATAATATGTGTCAGCGTCAGATTGCACATCAATTCATTTTATCTAAAATTTACTTGAGAAAACCCTCTAAGGCTACCACCACAAATTAGCCAAAAGTTGAATTCAGCCTCAGCAGTATCGGTAGTAATTATCCATAAAAATGCAATTAAATTATTGAAAAACGCTTAATATTAAGATTCGGTGTTTTTCCACAATTACTTAGTTTCATGAATTTTCCAATTCAGTAATTCGGTTGTAACTTTATGACACCAGGTAAGTTTACTGATGACACGTATATTGACCATTCTTGAAAACTTAGATTTTATGAATAAGATGTGATCGAGAACCGAAACGTCAAATAACAGGACAATAATAGTTTTAATTGGTTTCCCCTTTTTGGGAATTTGTGATATAATTAAATTTTATGCCAATTTAAAGACGTACTACAGTCTAAAGCCTAGCATCATTTTGTGTCATTGACCCGTGTAAAATTCAAAATAATGAGCGAAAATTTGGAATAAGGTCTTCGATTCTATCTAAAAGGAAACAATACGGGAATATTTAAATGAATAATTTCTCGGATAAGAGAAAAGAATGTATGAATGAATAATTTTGTTATCACAACAGTCAGTAGCTACAAGGTAATGCAGAAAAATAGGATCGAAAACTATCCAATCAAATGCTCAGAATAACGGCCAATCATATTCAAGAAAATAGTGTCTTTTTGTCCAATCACCGTATCCCGTTTTTGACCAATCATAGCCGAGATCTTTGTGAATGCCACAACCAATGACTTGAAGCGACATACCAAATACTATTCATTACCAGAGTTCGTAGCGAATTGTGCGGTAAATTGCAAATTATTCTACCTCAGAATCTAACTGACCCAGAAGAATAAATTGAAAGTGAGTAAGAAAGGATATTTATATGATTTAGAATGAAAATAGTTTCATGATCAGTCCAAATGTAACGCAATATTATCGATTTAAGTGTATAGAAAAGGAAATCTTTGGTCGACAGCCCAGAGTTTGTATGATGAAGTGATGTCAGAAAAAATGGCGGCATCCATGTTGTGTTTTGTTATGAAATTAAAAGTCTGCGGTTAATTTTTAGAATACGATTTTTACTTAAGCTGTAAGGAGTGTAGCATAAATTGAGGAAATTTACAACTTTAATACTGATGACTTCTAATTCTTCAATGATTATTCTATGGCGGAAATATTGGCTATTAATAGAAATGGCGGAAGACTTGATTTTTCCTGACGCATGACCTGACCTATTTCACAAAGTTCAATTTAGATTTTGAAAAAAGTCAATGAAGCTAAGCTCATTCATTTATACACAGATATTGATTTTGTGAGTTGTGTTTTTATGAATGGTATGCGAGTCTAAGAAGTACGTTCATAAATTTACTTTGACTAAAACTAGTAACAAATTCTCTCTCTGACAATGCTGTTTTCTGAATTGAAGTTTGACAATATTTTCCTACTAGTGAGAGTCTTAGATTGTCGTTGGGTTGATGATGAAAATGTTAACCACTGATTAAAATATCAATTGTAAAAATGATGGTACAGAGAGCAATTTTAAGTCAGAGTATTTTGAATATTTATGAAATGAAAAGTCAATTCAGAGCTCCATTTAGTCAGACAGTACACTGAAATCTTTTAAAACAAACCGTGTGTATAAATTTACCACATTTCAATTTCAGATTAAGGATGGCTCGTACAAAACAAACTGCTAGAAAATCAACTGGAGGTAAAGCTCCTCGTAAGCAACTTGCTACTAAAGCTGCACGTAAAAGTGCTCCATCTACTGGTGGTGTCAAAAAACCACACAGGTACAGACCAGGTACTGTAGCTTTGAGAGAAATTAGAAGATACCAGAAATCTACTGAGTTGCTTATTAGAAAATTACCTTTCCAACGATTAGTAAGAGAAATTGCCCAGGATTTCAAGACAGATTTGAGATTCCAGAGTGCAGCTATTGGTGCTTTACAGGTAACTTAATATAATAATTGATGTTATTGTTCTGAAAAATGAAAAGTTTAAACTGTTTTTGTTTGATAAATTTCATGTAGGTTGTTTGTTCACATTTTACACCTATATTACATTTTGCCTTTCTCTTATTTTTGCAGAGAACTTTTTGTGCATGTCACTTGTACCTATTTAACATCCTAATCCATGGTTCCCTAATTTGATTGTTATTTTTTTAACATTTTGCAGGAAGCCAGTGAAGCTTATCTTGTTGGATTATTTGAAGATACCAATTTATGTGCTATCCATGCTAAAAGAGTTACTATTATGCCTAAAGACATTCAGTTAGCCAGACGTATTCGTGGTGAACGTGCATAAAAATTTCCTCTTCATCAGACATCAAAGACATCATTGTTTTTCAATGTGATTTTACAATTTCATAATAGATGGTGTGAACATTTTATAATTATTTCATCAGACATTATTTTCTAAGTTTACAGTGATGTTTTGTCATCTATTTATTTTCTTGTCAACTTCTCTTGTGACCAAGACTGATCTTTACCTTTCTTAAGTTTTAACCATAATCTGTGTTTTTAATGTAGCATCATCTATCGTTAAATAAATATCTGTAGGTTCATGTTTGTCCCTCATGGTTTAGTTTCATTTATCTCATTGTAAATAATCATTTTATCATCATTATAGTAAGCTGATCTCTTGAGTATTTTTAAAAACTTACATAAATTTGTCCTCATTTTCATAAACGATTGGCAGCCTCCATACAGCATGGAAATTCCCTTAGGAAATATATTTATTTTATAACATTAAAAATGGTTTCGGCTAGATGGACACATATCAACTGATAATGTTTGGCTGTAGAAAATAAAGGAATGCTTACTCAACCTTTTTTATATTATTTCTTCCCCTTATCCAGCTTTTCATGAAATGTTAAGATCATGGCATTGTCAGGCCTTGTTTGCTGGCAATGATACATCAAGTTCCCATAAATTTACAAGAACCACCACTGTATGTATTGCAACACAGATTTGTGTGTACCAGAGTCACCTTGGATATCCAACTGTAATGAGATGAGATTACTGTTACAATGTTATTAGATTAATAGGTGATTTTGATAATCATTCCCGCTCAAGGCTGATTCTACTTAAATCTCTAAACTATCTTATTACTGCTCACAAGCTGACTAGATCAGAACTTGAGGCCACTATGTGTGACATTACCTTGCAATGCATTGCTAGGGTGTAAAGAATCCAACACTGATTTTATGAAGCTGGCATACATCAACATTTTGTAATTATCAGGAAAATTTAACAACCAGTCATAAGAAATGGGTTTTGGTATACCAGGGAAAGCATAGAATGCTCTCTGAAGATTCGCCTGAGGCCGTGATTAGGCGTGTATTACTGTCTGGCAAGCTACCCTCTTTATTCAGCTTACTCATATACTGTACAATCTGTGTGAAATGCAATTCGGAAAGAGTAGATGTGGGATTGGGGCAGCAGGAAAAAAAATGGAATACTATAATTACGAACTAATCAAATTTATCAAAGAAGTCTGTATTTACAAAGGTTTATCATTATTTGTGCACCATTCCAATTTTCAACCAGACGTCTGGGAGCCGCGGTGGCTCCTTGAGTTAGACGCTTGATCGCTAACCTGAGGGTCCAGGGTTCAATTCCGGCATAGGCCGAGACAATACCTTCGGATTTTTCAACCCGGTTTCCCCCTGTCAGTGATGCAGGTACGAGGGGCTGACATGGAAAAAGCGTCTAGTCATTCGGATGGGACAATAAACCGAGGCCCTGTGTGCTACAGGCTGTGCGCGTAAAAGATCCCTCGACAGTTGGAAATCGAAAAATAGCAGGCTAATGCCGCTGTCCTGGCAAAATGCACCCTACATGGCGTTGCCCATCTTCATTAGCCCACATGGTGCAGAAAAGTAGGACGTAAAACTCCATTCATTTCATTTTTTTTTTTCAATCAGAAATCTGTGGTTCCAGCAATTCCACTAAAACTTGGTTGCATTCTTGAATTAAATGCAAATTTAGCAGTTAGTGGTGTCATAAAACACTTAATTTTTGTGGAATTGAAAGATTCACATAAGTCTGAAAATTGGAATGGTTCAAGTTGTGTCACCAAGCCTTAACAATCCCTTTAATACACATTCATACACTATTAACATGCAGAGATAATAAAAAATACAGATAGGCCCTATTAAATATTTTTTTTTATTCATATATTCACACACATTTCCCAGAATATATAACTAAGACTGAAAAGATGATGAGATCCATTCGTAATATAACCTCTACGTAATATAACCTCTACAGTGGCATCGCTGACTTTAATTGGCCAGTCATGTCATTATGCTACTGCTGATGTCAATTTTCAGTTTTTCACTAGTTGCAAGAAGAAAAGTTAATGGGGCGGAATTACCATTTTCAGAGGTTGATTTGGGTCTTAAATATAATGTCTTCAGAACCACTGTCCTATGCAATGCATAATTCCTTCAATAAACCTCAAACAAGAAACTTCACTTTATATTTATTTTGTTCACAAGTTTACCCCTGGAACTTGAGGTAAATAAAGTCTTGACACCCAGATATCTTCGCTGCAGCTGTAAAAAGTGTGACAGGATGATTGAGTATATTGTGTACATTAACAGATTTTCAAAATGGAAAATATTGGAAAAGTGACTTGTCTTTTTAACTTTGAAACACAGATAATTATAGATACACAAGGCTAAGATTGATGACGAGCTATGACTAAGAATATTAGAAGAAAATTTTCCTCATTTCTCAAACAACTACACTTATCCCAAGTCTCTTTTTATTTATGTCATTCAAATCTTATAATTAACATTTTGTTAGTAAGATATTTTTGTGATTGGGTCCTAGATATCATCCACGATTGAAAAGTATTTTTTTAAGTTATTTTGAAGTCTTTAACTTTTTTTTCAAATCATCTGTATTAAAGCCATGTTCTTCTAAAGTTTCATCAAGAGTTCTAGAAAGTTGATCATCCAAGTCATTCTCTTCACGATAGTATAAATAAACACTCAATACTAGAAATGATATATAAAGTGAGATAATATCTGTCACTGGTCTATTCATACTACTTTGAGATACTATATTATTAACTGGTTTATGATAAAAAGCTTTACTTTCAGTAAATTTTATTGGTTCACCTTCTTCAGTGGCATCTGATTTACTTCTGTTACTACCCACTAAAACTTGACTGAAAATAAAAATAATTGAAGAATGATGTTTGATACAGTATGTAAATAAATGAAATTTTCTTATACTTAAAAGGGATACTGTCATCTTTATATTTCACTTACAGTAAGAGCTCAATTCGGTGCCAATCGAGATCAATTTGTTTAGGCTAATTGTAAGAGAATTGGATGTCAGATTTTAATTCTGAGTAAGTTCTGTTTAGCCAACCACCCTGTACATCCTAGACCTACACTAGGCTATACTAAGCCTGATTTCATTGAAATTCTGTTTTCTTTTACAAATATTAATAATAAAAATTTCAAATTCATGCCATTTGTTTTAAAGTTCAGGTTTACAGAATGGGATATAATATAATATTTTTTAATAAAAACACTGCCCTCCAAGATGACCAGTGAAAATTACGTAGATCTACATTTTGGAATGAGCATTTTTCTCTTGTATTTCCAAATAAAAATCATTTCAGGACGAGACTCAGGTGAGACCGAAACATCCTGTCTCTCAATTCAATGCCTTGGGTCTAAACACCACAGTTGTCTCAGTTGTATTTAGATTTAGGATTTTAGGCCCTTCTATATTATGTATAATATTTATTCATACCTTCTGATAAATATACGAGGTCCTGCATGTAAACGCAATAACGTTTGACAAGTTTTAATCAAGGATCTTTTAGTAAGTGTATTCATATTAACGGAAAGACAAAAGACACTATCAACAAACAACTCGGTGAATGTCACTTTTAACTTGTTGATGTTATAAAATTGAACTTTAATCTGACCTTGACACATAGGACCAATTCGCCCTAGACATCCATTCCAGACAGATCGGCATGCCTGTTGCCATGTCTAAATTGTATTTGTTTTTACCAACAGTTAAGACCGTTAAGACTGCAATTGTGCTTTTTCGTGTAATATTGATGGAAAAGGGACATCTTATTACCCAAAATCTTTAATCAGGTTTGAATGTCTCCGGTTTGTTTAGGGTCAATCTGTCTCTTCCGCCAACCTTGACATTGCCTCAACTATGGCGCTAATCGCAAGTAGAAGTAGAATGGTGATATTTAGTAAATAAACAAAGTTTGAGGGAAATGAGGTTTAGCCTTATAAAGTTTGCTACTATGGTTCGTGTTCTTAATGTAGCAGAGAAGAATGATGCTGCCAAATGCATTGCAGAAGTAATGTCAAGAGGAACTGCGAGAAAAGTATTTCAATTTTATTTTTCTTAGCTGAGTCGTACTGAGTGCCTCAGTGAATCTGGTCTGAATTTTGCCTCTTGGATTTGGCTCTTATTTTCTTGGTCTTAGCAACGTCCATGGTTGTCGAATCATATCCATATTCGAACTTGTTAAAGATCTTGTAGGCTAGGGATGGGTAAAATAATTGAAATAAACGATTATCTACGGTACTCTATAAATCTATGATTTTGGTTATCGATTATCAAATTTCATATTAGGCTAATTGATTAAATATCAAAGTTATATTTTCCCCAATGTATTCATCGTAAAATCAGTCCTTCTCTATAAAAAGTAATTTCTTGCACAAAATTTCCCTTTAGTACACTATTTAACTTGCAATAATCTATATTGAAAGTCTGTCAGTATTTGTGTATGTAGCAATATAGGCCTATCACTATGTCAGTCACTAAGATTGTGCTTTGAGTGAATTGTCATTAGTTATAATGATATCCATACAACATGTTTTTCTCGGCTTATTTATAGATCTAACATTGTACATGAAAATAGGTGACACATTTTGTAGACTTTATCGAGTTGGTTGCTCATGAAATAAGGGTAAAGGTGAGGGATTTATCAAGAAAATCTTAACAAACCAATTTTAATTATTTCATAGAATATCTGAAAAAACATCTTAGACAAAAAATAAAAAATCTGTGTTTTTTAATTTTGACTAAATTCAGTGTTGAATGTTGCGCGAACATAGGTTACACCACTGTAATATGCATTTATTTGCATTTTCAGCTGAATTATTTTTTTATTACATTTTTTTAACAGAGAGAAGGATATTCTAAGTTTAATAAGCTATATGAATTTGAATATAATGTTTTTAACCAGAATTGTAATATGACCATGACATCTGTGTCAGGCCACCTACTAGGCTTAGATTTCGTTGGACAATATAGAAAATGGTAAGAGACAACTTTACAATTTGGAAGATATTTTATTTTAAAACATCCATTGGCTTCCCAGAAATGAATTGTGTGGTCAATTGCATACAGTGTAGTGAAATGAATGGAGTTTTAAGTCATACTCCTCTGTACCTAATGAAGACAGGCAATAACATGCAGTGTGCAATGAAGACAATTTTGCCAGAATAGCAGCATTTTTCAATTTCCAACTGTTGAGGGATCTTTAACAGCACATGGGACCTCTGTTTAATTTCCCATCCAAACTACTAGACACGTTTGCCATGTAAGCCCTATATTATTGACAAGAGTGGAAGTGGGTTAAAAAGGTATTAATTTGACCTATGCTGGGATTGGATCTTCAGGTAAGCCAGCAAGCGTCTAAATAACTGAGCCACTCGGCTCCTTGCAGCAATTATTGTAGCTAAAAACTTTTGGATATTGGTATGATTTTCATATCTTTTTGATGCAATAATACATTTTGAATATTTGTAGTTATTCTACATTTTTTCTTTGTTTTTAAGGTATTCTTGTAATCCTGTCCAACTATTCGAAACTCCAGTAACTAAAATATGTCCTGATAACTTTATTGATATCAAGGTTTGTTATTTAGTAACTTTTCCACCAATTTCCATTTACATTGTGTGTTTTTGCCTGGATATATATCACTTATCAAATTGTCATTGAGTGTTTTTTTATTATAATTTAAGTTGCTTCAGAAATATTTGAAAATTTTATCCCAGGGGCATAAGTAATTGGAATGAAGCAATTTAATACAACAAACCAATAAGATCAGATTTTGAGAAAAATATATAGATCATAGTATTTGAATGATATTTTAGAGAACATTAGAAAGAGAAGTAAAGGGATGTAAATATTTAGTTATATGGACAGATTGTGATAGAGAAGGAGAGAATATTGGCTTTGAGATTATACAAGTTTGTAGAGAAGGTAATGTTTATTAGTGTTGAAACAGTTAATCAGTTAACCGATTTTGGGTAGTATTTCATGGGTAACCGGGTTCAATTTGAGATAATCGGTTAACTGTAAATTTTACAAGAAGTAAAAAGAGAGCAATTTTGACAGAAATTTCGTCACTGTACGAGTCTTTAAGCTGTTTTCTTTAGTAAATAAACATCTTTAGTGATTGAATAATTGAGATTAATGAATCAAGATAGGGTATCAATTATCACTATTACTTTTTATTAACTCTCCTCTAATTGTTTGCTGTTTGTTTCTTCTTGCCTGTCATTCAGCTTCAAGCTTATTACAGGGTTCGCACCGCCTTGAAAAACCCTTGAATTCCGTCTGTTGCCTTGAAAAACCTCGATTTCAAAAAAAGTCATTGAAAACACCATAAAAACCCCATTTTCTCTTGAAAAGTCCTTGAATTTTGAGTCAAATTGTGTATATTTTTATCATTAACCCCATTGACAAATATTAACTATCTTTATTGATTTCACAGTTCAGAAGTTAGGTACATGTGTATTCTGTCAGACTGATATCCTTGAAAAGTCCTTGAATTTCAAAGCCCAGAGTCCTTGAAAAGTCTTTGAATTTTTGAGGCAAAGTGCTGTATGAACCCTGTATTAATATTCATGTGTACGGATTCATAGAGACAATAGTTTTATACCAGGTGTGGAACCAGTACTCTGATTCACGGCGATTATAATGACCCCACAACTGGTATAAAAACCTTTGATCTGTTAGAGACTGTAGCAATGAGTGACAACGGTACCAATCTGTCTGAACTCTGTCAGGCCCGCTCGTAATCTTACATTGAAGCAGACGCTTCAATGGGTTGTTTGGTATCTGTCGATTTTTACCGACAATTCGCGGGGAATTAGCCAAAATCTTCCTGGGTATTCATTTACACTCTAGTTAAGTTAACGGTGAGTTATTGCTGCAAATGTGGTTTTTGACCCCTTTTATAATCTTTAGTAACAAACAGTTAATGCCGACGATTACTTGGTTCGTAAAATTCACTAACCGTTTCTACACTAATGCTTATGTCAAGTATATTTTTGCTTCATGGTACAATTTTCAGATAAGAAAAAAGTATAAGTTATAATACTAAAACATTATATATTAAAATGGTTGCAAGAAGTCCCCTCTCACAAAATCACTGTCCGAAACCAACATTTTTCTTGCCTTGATGGTTTGATGGTGCCTGATTTGTGTAGCATAAGACAATCTGACTTAGATACCCAATTGTAAGAAATGAGCGCAGGGTTTACATAGAATAAAATATTTCATACAAAATTGTATCAGGAATTAACCACAAAATATGTAGCAAAATGTTTGAAAACAGCTGTCAAAAAAGCCCAGAATTGCATTTATAATTGTCTTACAATTTGATGATTTTCGACACTCATGTTACAAACAATATAAAGTATCTATATGAATGTATTTTTTTATAGCCAAACCATCAATACAAGTTTATAGAGCTCGATTTTCAGAGATAACACCACAGTAAGCAGTTTTTGAAATATTACAGTATGTAAGGGTAGTTGTCAGACAATAAAAACAATGATTCCCAGAAGCTTTCTACATTTTTGTACAATTTGTGTTGGTGACAAAATAGAAGTTGAGATGAGTGAGACATTGTCTATCTGGTTTGAATACAGCTCTAGATGATTTATTTCATTATTTTCTAAAATCATCATCAACAAACTAAGGAAACTGTTTTTCATGATATTCTATCAATCAGATTTATTTACTCCCTTTTGGAGAATTCTTGAATATTCATTGTTTGATCTGTGACCTGTTGTGAGGCCATATCTGACACTGTTTTTAACTTACTAAATTATGTTATGAAACATGCAGGTCAAGTTCAGATCATGTACAAGGAGTATAATAATCTGTAGAAAATTCATAAAGCATGAAAATGTAAAAATAAAATTTTTGGAGATGAAATGAGCTGCAATCATAAGATCCTTTTTCATTAACATAACTGAAATGGATATTTGAATTATTTGTTTCTTGTAAATCTCTGCAGAAGTAATAATTCCTTGATAACTTTTCAGTAAATAAAAATTCTTCTTATAAATTGATATACATTCATACAGTAGTGACCTAGCAGAATATATCAAATATATGATAATTAGTATTTCATCTTGTATGCTTTTATAGAGCTATTAACAGAGCAATACAGAATCTCGTTCCTCCTGATCAGAATGTCAGTGATGCTGTAGATGTCAGGACTGAGTTAGATTTAAGAATTGGTATGTCATATTTTATCTCTTTTCTATTCTTCATTTTATTAGCCTGTAATAAGTGGTAGTTATGCAACACCTTATGTTTATATGAAATAAATTTTAGAATGAATTATTAGTATTGCAAATGAATAACTTTCTATTCATCTAAAAATATGATTATAATTACATTTTTACATATAATTACTTTTTTACAGGTGCTGCCTTCACCAGATTTCAGACATTACGCTTACAGAAAGTATTTCCTGAAGTATTAAGTGATCAGTTAATAAGTTATGGTAGTTGTCAGTTTCCTACTTTAGGTTTTGTTGTTGAAAGATATAAACAAGTTGAAGCCTTTATACCAGAACCTTTCTGGAAAATAAAAGGTGTGTACTAGTTCTTTAATCTTACCTATAGTAGAAATTATTTGAAGTAGTCGTATTTGGATTTAAAAGAAAGAAATAGATCAGTTGTAATGACTTGATACAGGCTCTAGATTATTGAAGGCCACGTGACAAAAATATCTACAACCTAAAACTGATGGCGATAAGGGACTGTTTGATTTGGTATATTTTTTGGGTTACCAGATAATTTGTTTTAAATTCTTATATTTTGATAATATATAAATATGAAATGTATATGAACTGCTTTTGAATAATGTGTCATATCTAGGGGCAAGTAAATATAGATCTACATGACTTTACTGTAGGATAGTATGAAACTTTGACTTGTTTTATTTCAGTTACACACTTTTTAGATGATGTTAAAGCAGAATTTAATTGGAAAAGGTGAGATAAACAAACATCATGAACCTAGTGAATCATTCAAAATGTGTACTGAAATGTTAAGAAACTGATTTGAAAACAATTGGATTTGATGCTTTCAAATATACTGCCTTTATGCAGATTTTACCTCCAAAACATGTATTAGCGTTATTAGATGAGCTCTTTACATTTTATATTAACAACTGTGAAGATATGTTTTATTATAGAAATCGACTGTTTAATTATCAAGCCTGTCAAGTACTCTATGAACAATGTACAGAGGTATGTAATTTTTCACTTCTTTATTTAGCAGATAGATTCAAAATAACAAGAAAACAATTACATGCACATAGATGCATTCAGAAGTTCTTATGTTAAAGACACCTTTCAAAATGTTTAAACATTTTCTTAAGGTAGACTATCACACAAATAAATCCTAATATAGGCTGGCCGTTGCAACCAATGTTCAACTAAACTGTGATATTTTTGCTTCTGTAGTTGTTTAAACAGACTATTGGTAAAATTTAACGGAAATTTGGTCATATTGTTTAATTAATGATAAATTTAAATATATGGTTGTATTGTATATAATATCTGTAGTTACCAGTAGCTACAGTAACTGATGTTAGAAGTAAAAGTAAGAATAAATGGAGACCACAAGCACTAGATACTGTTGTGAGTATATATCTTGGTTTTCTGAATTCTAATGGTAAGGGTTCCAGTTTGAGGATTCTTGAAACTTGAAAAAGTCTTCTTTTCATTAGTCCATACCTATAACTGTACATCATAACCTAGGATATTAAGTTTAAGGTTATTGAACTTAGAATAGTGCTCATTAGTGCTTTAACATGAGCATTCAATGTCACTTTACAAACACAAATATTTCTACATTATAGTCAATGTCTATACACACATACACACACACAGTTGTTTTAGTTAAAGGTTCTTCTAAAAAGATGCTTTTTTTAACTTTCTCTTAAAAGATTCAACAGATTGGCAGGTTTTTAACTTTTCAGGTAACTTGTTCCATAACCGTGGTCCTGCTACAATGAATGACCTATCCACAAATGATATATTTTGTTGTTGGTACAGGAAGATTAAGACAAGTAGAGGATCTTGTACAATACGAATTAGAGAGTTAAGAGATCCAATAGATATTTTGGAGCTGACAAATTAATGACAAGCACACTCCAAAATTTATTTTGATTCATTCTAATGCTACATGAAAATTAGTTTTTTTAATGAAATTTTTGCAGGAACTTGAGAAACTTGCTTCAAGAAAGTTACGTATAAATGCTAAAGAAACAATGAAAATAGCTGAGAAGTTATATACTAATGGTTTTATAAGTTACCCACGTACAGAAACTAATATCTTTCCTAAAGAACTCAATCTTACTACTCTAGTTGAAGATCAAACTCGAGATCCCAACTGGGGAGGTATGTTATTTATTAACAAAATGTTTTAAATTTTGGGTTTTATTTTGTTGCTAGTACTTGGGTTTTGTTATATAAATATATTTATAAATATAGTATGCTAAGTGATTTCTTCTTTTTTATTGAATTAATAATATTGATATGGATATCTTGATTTCTTTTATCATAATTGTAGAAATAAGTCACAAAAGTGACCCCATCTTGTTATCTTTCAGAGTTTGCACGAGGTATTCTTCAAAATGGACCTCATCCTAGAAATGGTAATAAAACAGATAATGCCCATCCCCCTATACATCCTATTAAATATACTGCTACATTACAGGTACTTTCATCCTTTCTTCTCAATTTATGTATTCAGTATATTTCTTTAATTTATATTCACCGGTAGTTGTGTCTTTAAGGTTTCAATTATTAGCAACTTAGTGATAGAGAATTATGATATATAGCAGCTTTCCTCTAGTATTAATCCAATGTATTTTTTTTTTTTAGGGTAATGAACAGAAACTATATGAGTTTATAGTACGTCATTTTCTAGCCTGTGTGTCACAAGATGCCCAAGGATTTGAAACAACTGTAGATATTGATATTACAGAAGAACAGGTAGATATATATGTTATGGCTCAAGAAAAGAAAATCATATGCTATTTGGCATTTACTCTCTAGATATATTTGCTACATTAAGTATAAAATGTTTCACAAATAAACTCTTTCGAAGCAGGAATTTTGAATAAAACCAAAAGTGTTTTCTCGGTATATTTTTTTTAGTTCACAGCCTCTGGTTTAATGATTATAGGCAAAAATTATTTAGAAGTTTATCCTTATGAAAGATGGAATGCTAAGGTTAGTGCAATGTTTTGTTAAGAAAAATGCAATTTATATCATGTTTGGGTTGAGCCTCTTGATTATTACGTCTGTTTTCTGTAGATTGTCAATGATTTATACTTTTCCTTCCTTACAGTGTTATATTTATCTTGAGCACAGTATATTGTATAATGTCTGAAGCTGTATTTCATTTATTGATTTTTATCATACTTATACTGAACTCTTTACAGTTTGTTTTATATTGTAGGAAATTCCAGTCTATAATGTAGGTGATAAATTTGAGCCATCGTCTATTGAGGTAATCTTTTTAGTTATAAATCTTTATATCTGATTTCTAATTTATGCACTGAAGCTGCGATGGCTCAGTGAGTTAGATGCTTGTTCAGTTCAATACTGGCATAGGTTGAGTTAATACCTTCGGATTTGCAACCCGGTTTCCCCCTGTCAGTGATGATCACAGGGACTGACATGAAAAAAAGCATCTTCTTGTTCGAATGGGACAATAAACTGAGGCCCTGTGTTCTACAGGCTGTGCATGTTAAAAATCCCTTGTCAGTTGGAAATCGATAAAAGATCAGGCTAATGCCGCTGTCCTGGAAGAATTTCCCTCATTGCACCCTGCATGGTGTTGCATGTCTTCATTAGCCCACATGGTGCAGAAAAGTAGGACATAAGACTACATTCATTTCATTTTTAATTATCCATTTGACTGACTGTCTTCATGACTGATTATTTATTATCTTCAGATAATGATAACTGGTTTCTTAAACAATTTCTCAGATTATCTTTATCAACTTATGAACTGATTATCCCTGTAATGTTTTTTTTATCAGTTCACAGATTATGATATTTTTGACTGATTACCTTCCATCAGATTAAAATGTTGATCAAGTTTTTAACATTTCTCTAATTTTTTAGATGGTAAGTGGAGAAACTTCAGCCCCACCACTACTTTCAGAAGCTGATCTTATATCTTTAATGGATAAACATGGAATAGGTAAGTGTCACTCTTAAAAGATTTGCAAGAGGAGCTGACTCTCAAAAGAAGGTGATTCGAACCCATCAAATCACCTAGCAGACGACAGTTCAACATGCTACTAGCAAAGTTATTAAACTATGAACTTTAGATTTTTTTCAACAGTAATTTGTAATTATTAGTATTTTCATACGCCCACATCTCTCTCTATGTGGACGTATATTGTCTGCACCCCTGTCCGTCCGCCGTTCTGTCCGTCCGTCAACATTTGCTAGATTTTTTGATGGAATCAAATGAAATTCGGTATGTGTATACATATTCATAAAACGAAGATCAAGTTTGAATTTGAGCTATTTTCGACCGTTAGAAGCAGAGTTATTGCCCTTGCCCCAAAATCTTGAATATGCTATTACTCTCTTAGTTTTCAACCGATTTTGATGAAATTTAAAATGGATGTTTCGTTTTTACCATTCGCATGCCGTCGTGGGCGTATATGGCTGTGGTCCACTATCTTTGAGTTATTGAATGGGTAGTGGTCATGAGACTGAATACAAGTTTTTGAAGTCTAAAGTAACCGGCATTTAAATTTATTTCTATCCAATTACCCACAGTATTACTATTTTAGGTACAGATGCTACCCATGCTGAACATATAGAAACAATCAAGAATAGATCATATGTAGGTTTAAGACCTGATGGTAGATTTGTTCCTGGTCATCTTGGTATGGGATTAGTGGAAGGTTAGTAACTATTGAAGTGTTTAACTCAATCTTGTTGAAATGTTTTCTTCTAATCTATGTTTCATCTAGAAAATGATGATTCAGCTACATTTATCTCTATATTTAATTATTTATAAATAGTAAGATTAGTTAAAACAAGCTCAACTAAATATATTAATGACACATCTATTATAGATTTTGAGAACAAATGCAATTTACTTGTAGGCTATGATTCCATGGGATATGAGATGTCGAAACCAAATTTAAGAGCAAATTTAGAAAATGACTTAAAATTGTAAGTTTTGATAAGATAATCATTCTTTTAAAATATTTGGATGACAGAGTAACAATAGATTATTGATTTGATTCTCCCCTTATTATTTTTGTCTCAATTTTCAGAATTTGTGAAGGGAAAAAGAACAAAGATTGTAAGTATTATCTTCATTACTGAATACTATCTTGATCATATACTGACACTACAACTTCTAAACAGCTATTACAGAAATATACATTCTGTTATTTGATGAATTCATAGTTAATATCAACTGGTTACTTAATTATTTACTTCATTAATTTTAGTGGCTTTACAAGAGCAAATATCAAAATACAGAGAAGTGTTTATACAGGCATGTGATCAGGTAGGCTTATATCTCTATATATTAATTACTGTTATCTATATTACAGAGTTACTTCTCTTGTCATTTGTTGTATTAAAAATTTTCAATATTTTTTATGAAAACAATGTAATGGGTGACAGACAGTGGAAGGGTGGGGGAGGGTGGGGGGGGGGGACATTTGAGATTGCCGAAATGTCTATCCTAGTTATGAGATTATGGCCCAGAAAACTTGTTTTTGAGGTTGTGAGGGAGATGGCTGCCCCCACTTTGGCTCCGCTACTGGTGACAGATAAGCATAATATATTGTTGCTTCCTTAAATTAACATAAACATTTGTTAAAATGTCTTGAAAATTATATCAGAATATGTTGCCAATAAAATAAATAATTGACATTGCTTGGTGAAAAACTGTTCATTTTCATGAAAAAAGGGTTTCATACTTGAATTATTTCTGTAGGCTATGAAACTAGATGAAGCCCTGGCACAATATTTAGGTGAAGCTACACAATTTACAGCTACAGAGACGTCTCTACCATCTGTACAGTCACGAGTTAGACCTTGTCCAAGATGTTCACAAGATATGGCTTTAAAATCTAAAAAAGATTGCAAAGGGTAATAAGGTTAACATTTTAAATTGTTACTTGAATATTTTATTAACTGGTGTACAGCTATCATTGTTGTATTATAAAGTTTAAAGTTTGACAAACATGGTTTCTAAAGTAAATCACTAGTAAAATATGATATCAATAATGTTATTACAGGTATTTTGTTGGTTGTATGGGATATCCTGATTGTAAAAATGTAATATGGTTGCCTGATTTTATATTAGAAGCCAGTGTAGAGGAGTCAGTTTGTGATAAGGTACAATTTCTTATATTCCCTAGATTTCACACATTTTTGTACACAGACAACTGAAATTTAACATATTTATTTTACAAACTAAATAACATCACCTTTTCTTTTTTGTTAACTATTTGTTAACTTATTATTTCAGTGTACCAATGTAAATAAAATGAAGTTTAAATATAAAAGAGGATCAGTGCCTCCAATGATACAAGTAGAGTAAGTTTACAGTTTTGAACAAAAATTAATGTTAAAGCTAAAAGAATAGATAGAAGGGTTTACTTGAACATTGAGTTTATCTTTGAAAAATGTTACTTTCTAGCCAAGCTTTTAGCATGTTTGCGCATCTAGTTTCATGCTAAAATTAATAACATGTACCTTGATTAAAGCACGTAAATAATAGTTCTGGTATTTACAAAATGATAAGCTTTTATTAGGAATCAACTTATCTTGAAAGTACTGTAAGTGGAACTCTCATGTGGAATTTCATACCAGTTTAAATTTGACTGCTAAACACATACATGCATCAGTTTGTCAACAAGTAAGCTAGAGATTCCAACATATAAGGATTTAACTTGGTAAATTTATGAAGATTGATGCAATTTAATGTAATTGGTTTTGAGTCTACGCCCAATTAATATAACATATTATGTTTTATTTTATAGAGATAGTATATGTATTGGTGGATGTGATGAAATGGTCAATGAAGTCTTTAATATTTCTAAATTTATTAATCAAGGTACCGGTAGTTAATAAATGGAACTTTGATATTTAGGCTTTAAATTTACTTCATAACGACTTGTAAAATTTAAATATCTAACAATTGTCTTATAAATATCAGAGGCAATGCCCTATTGTTTAGCAGAATAACTGCAATGCTTGTGAAGTTAACCCTGTGCCAGACCCTAAGAAGTGAGTCTATAATGAATAATCAATCTTGAGGTTTATACAATTAAAGAAACAGTATGTTTAATTAATAATTAGTTTGACAGTAAAATTATTTCTTACAGGTGCTAATAATGGTGGAAACAGTAGACCACCAACACAAAATAGTAGAACTCAGAATAATAGACATCATAATAATCAAAACACAGTGCCTTATCAGAACAATAGACCTCACCAAACAACTGTGCCTTTTCAGAACAATAGATCTCAAAATACAGTGCCTCATCAAAACAATAAACTTCAAAACACAATGCCTTATCAGAACAATAGACCTCAAAATCAAAATGGTGATTACCCAGTTCAGAATGGAAGAGCACCATTAAACAATAGAGATAATAGTTTTAATAATGGTAGAGATGATTGTAATACAGGTAGTACTACTATTGTCTGTAATTGTGGCGAAGATGGATTGTTATTAACTGTCAGAAAAGATGGACCGAATCAAGGTATGTTATGATCTTTATTCTAATGAAATGAGTAAATAAGTAAATATTTTTGACCCTTTAAAGCACTGATCAGGGCATTAAGGATCCCTCATTCCTTGCTATGGAAGATTCATTGTAGCATGCAGAACTATTTGAGATGTATGTACAGTACAATAATAATGTCCTGTCCTGTTGTGTATCTTGTCTAGTTCTGTAGATCTTTATTGGGCTTATCATTAATCCTCCATCTCCCACAAAATAAAATATTTTTTTACTCTCCTGTGTTGTTGAGTATTATTTTCAGATGGCTAGTTTTATTGTGTTTGAATTTATAATTATAGGTCGTCAGTTTTATAAATGTAGTAAACCCCAAGGTACTGGGTGTAATTTCTTTCTATGGGCAGATGAGAACAATCCTAATAACAATTCAAGTAATAATTTTACACATAGGTATGTTTCATGTTTTAGTAAGTACTACGACTTGAGACAGAGATTTTAGTTGCGGAGATCTTTGGTTCAACTGCATGAAAGCAAATTATGAATTCTCAACTGCAAAAATTGTTTTTGTTAATCAAACCATTAATTGTTTTATTATATGCTGTATTGACAGGAATGATGGAAATATCAATCAAACTAGTTTTAATAGACAAGTTAATAATACAGATAATGTTCAGTGTAACTGTAATGTTGAAGCTAGAAGGTAAGAGGATTGTTAACTGTGAAAGTATCTATTTTCTTATTATTTAAGAGTTTAAAACAACTTCTTTATATTTTTATCAATATATTGGACAAGTGATTTCTATGTAATTATCAAGAATGTAAGCATGTTAATTTTGTAATTTTTATGGGAAAATATTATATATCAAACCTGATGTTCAAGATTCACTTCTTTCATGATTCATTCAACATGTCAGAATGTTAAAGCTTTTTATTTCCAAATTTTATATGTTTTGTTTATTAGTTTAGTAGTACAGAAAGAAGGACCAAACAAAGGCAAATCATTCTATGGTTGTCCTAAGCCTAGAAATGAAGGATGTGGATTTTTTCAATGGGCTGATCAACCTCCTGGGAATGGTGGGGGTGGCACAGGTAATAATTTGTTTTCATAATGATTACCGATACTATCAAATAAATGTAGGACATATCTATGTTTTCAATATCAAGTTAATATGCTCACTCAATCACAATTTATACTGATTCAAGGTCGGCTTACTAGAGTTTCAAACACAATTCACATTTTATCATAATAGGCTGGACAAATAATGGTAGTACATATAAAAACAAACAACAGGGTGGGGCTGGACCCCAAGATGGTGCTACTAAGAAACGGAAATGTGGAATATGTCATGTTGAAGGTGGGTAATTCTACATTTTACATCCAACACTACGGATATTGAAGGAGTTAAACCAGATTTAAGTTAAAGGCAGTAACAAGCCTTATTGTACATGTTCACAATAAATCAGACATGATTCCTTAATTGAAAAAAATTACTAAACTAGTGTTCAAAAGAATCGATACCACCTGTGTTCAAAAGAAGCGATACCACCTGTTTGCAACGACATAAAAGAAGAACTAAACAATGTAGAAGTTTAGGATTGGTGTTATGCTTTTGAGAAATCCTTTCACAACATCTGTACAAAAATTTCATTTCAATAAAATCTGTACAACCAATATGACAAGCCTTTAAAGATGGGTGGGGTCGAAAAAAGAACATTTCGTTAGAGCACTGATCACAGAAACAACGGGAAATGTCACACCACACGTCACAAAGTCAAGTCAGTAGCGGGTATGTCCACCGTGAGCATCAATACATGCCAGAACACGCCTACGGACTGATGCCGTCAAACGTATGATGACGTTGGGAGTGATGCGTTACATTCCTCGAGGAAATATCGTTCCAAGTCCTGGTTGTTGACTGGAGGCACACGGCGACGTCGGATTTGCCGATCGAGGTGGTCCCATAAGTGCTCGATGGGATTCATGTCCGGTGAACATGCGGGCCATGGCAAAACCTGTACGTTGGCGTTGGCAAGGAAGTTCTGTGTCAATCTTGCTGTGTGTGGCCTTGCATTGTCATGTTGGAAAAGGAGTCCACGAGGCTGTTGCTGAATAAAGGGAACCACAACAGGCCGTAGGATGTCATCAATATAACGCTGTGCATTCAGGTTTCCACGAATTACGACAAGCCTCGTTTTGACGTCACCACATATGCCACCCCAAACCATTAACCCTCCACCTCCAAACGGCCGGACCTGTTGGATACTGTTAGGCGCCAAACGTTCACCAATTCGTCGGAATACAAGCTGCCGTCCATCGTTTTTGAAGATGAGGAATCTGCTCTCATCAGAGAACATAACACGTGCCCAGTCCCGCCGTTGCCAACGTCGAACTCGTCTGGCCCAGATCAGTTTGTTGTTCCGGTGTCGAGGCGTCAGGAGCGGTCCGCGGTAGAGATGACGTGGCCGGATACCAAACTGCCATAGTCTCCTGTAGACGGTCTGTCGACTGATCCTGTTTCCCAGTGCTGTAGCCGCCGTGGACGTCGCTGTTATGGTGCGGGTCCTCAGGTGTAATACCCGAATGTAATGATCTTCACGGGGAGTGGTTACTCGTGGTCTTCCAATCCTGGGCCTGTCTGACGTCTGACCTGTCTGACGTAACCGCTGCATCAACCTGGTGATAGTGATGCGTGCGCAGCCCAACCTTCTGGCGACGTCGACGTGTGTCGCTCCTTGTTGGACCATTCCAACGGCTCTCTCTCTCTCTCTCTCTCTCGATGGCTGTCAAACGTGGCATATCTTGTGTTCTTTTTGTTGCTGTGATATCAACGTGTCTTATCAGCCGTTTTATACAGTTTTTATGCACGTGCAGAACATGCTAGAGAGGGAAATGTCACTTTCATGAAATTTACGTTTTTTCCTGGAAGTGATCACATGTTCCCGGTATTTTTATCGACTATGCTGTGTTTGGGATGTGCAATACAAATTGGCATGTTTTCATATTAGACAATTCACTTAGTAAAAAACAATTTTGAAAATAAGTTGGTATCGTTTCTGTTGGACACTAGTTTATATTACACTTATATTACAATATAAAACACTGTTTAGATTCATTACTGTATTGAAGAACTCTATTGAATCTATAGAAAGTAGCAGCATTATTTATGTTTGTGTCAGTTTTTCTATTGTAAATGGTGGTAAAATGAATACTGAACTAAGGTAAAATTCAGCTCTCATAAATCATAGGACTATCTTTATCTAGTAATATGTGTACATGTATTGTATTTTCAGGTCATACAAGAAAAACATGTCCTCAAAGATAATAGTGATAGATTGGAACAATAATATTTGTGATATTAATAATAATTGTGTTTTAATTGTGTTAAATTAACTGCTAGAAAGATATTGTATTCATAAATTTTTATTACCTTTATTCAATATTATTTTGTGACTTGGCAATTAATAGCAAGATAATGATGATGATATTGTAAAGTTAGATAATAGTGCATACATAATCCATTCTTATGATCTACTGTAGTCTCCTGAGACAAAGTGTAGAATATTTTGGTGTTTTCTCTGAGAAATGGAAATGTTTGCATAAAGAAATAGTAATTACCTATATAGGTTTTCAAATGGTCATACTTTGGGTTTCACTTCCTCACAACTTGTACATAATCAAAGGTTATTTTGTATTTTAGCCCGTTTGGAACTATAAACAATTTTCATTCAACTATTTCTTTTTCATATCTGACTCTCAGATCTGTACAAAGGAACTTTTGCCAACTATAAGTGACATTTACTTAATATGGCTCTTATCAGTAAATAATTAAAGACAATTGTTAATAAAAAACTTTATAGAAATTATATAAATTATAACATTAACTATATACAGAACTAAAATGGACGGTACAAAAGACATGTCATTTAGATATTTATATTATTAAAATGATGTGCGCGGAGATTGATGATAATAGCTGTAATTATTTGTGGCCTTTATGAATGGAATATCTTAAAACCCTGATATCACCTTCACCTCATCTCTTTTTTAATCTCAATTGTTTCAATTCATTTTCATGGAAATGTGAGATGGCTGATGTTTCTGCAAGCTGTAAGAAAAAAAAGATCAGTTATGGTCATTATCAGTTATATTATCAATTCATGCTTACACTGATCTTGGAACTGAATACATGTATAATGATGTCCTCAGTCCTGTCAGTAACCACTAGAGTTAATAGGTTTTATGCTGGTAAAAATGATATTTCTGTCTTTATTCTTATAATTTTAGAACGAGTTTTTGAAATGTTTTTACTTGCTATCAATGTCAAATCTTAAACAAATGGTACCAAAGCGCTGTGAGCGCCAATTTGGATAAGTGCTTTGGCAAATCGCTAAATTAAATGTGTATTGTGGGCAAATCGTTGTTGACGCTTTGATCTGTGCCTATAGTACAAAGATAGCTTGCGAGGCAAGGTAACATACGCCCACTGGCAGCTGTCAGAAATATTAAAACAGTCTTTAGTGACTAAAGTATGAATTTTCTCATATTGAAGAAATTTTATTAGTTTGAATTCAATTACATATATATATGCCAGTTATTTATGCCGAGTAATTCCACAAAATTTTTTAAAATCAATATCAATAACCCAAATACAACAAACAATTAAATCACACAGCTCTAATCAAGGGCAAAAAACAACTTTGACGCGTGTTTACAAAGTCAAGGGCAATAGCTCAAAAGAAGTTCATCAAAAATATCTCAAGTTAGAACTTGTCCAAGATCAATTCCAATGATCACACCAAGTTTCATCAGAATTGGTTGAAAACTGTAGCTTCTATTTTGCTCACAAACAAATTTTGAAGCGTTTTACAAAGTCAAGGGCAATAACTCCGAAAGCGTTCATTGAAAATGCCTTAAGATAGAACTTGTCCGAGATCTTATCAATTCCAATGATCATAAAAAGTTTGATCAAATTTGGTTGACAACTGTAGCTTCTATAGTGCTCACAAACACATGTTGACGCGTTTTTACAAAGTCAAGGGCAGTAACTCAAAAACCATTCAGCGAAAATGCGTCAAGTTAAAACTTGTCCGAGATCTTATCAATTTCAATGATCACACCAAGTTTCATCAGAATCGGTTGAAAACTGTAGCTTCTATTGTGCTCACGAACAAACTTTGACATGTTTTAACAAAGTCAAGGGCAATAACTCAAAGATAGCATGCAGTGCAAGGTAACATACGCCCACTGGCAGCTGTCAGAAATAATAAAACAGTCTTTAGTGACTAAAGTACGAATTTTCTCATATTGAAGAAATTATTTATGCCAATTATTTATTGTCAAATTTGGTTGACAACTGTAGCTTCTATAGTGCTCACAAACACATGTTGACGCGTTTTTACAAAGTCAAGGGCAGTAACTCAAAAACCATTCAGCGAAAATGCGTCAAGTTAAAACTTGTCCGAGATCTTATCAATTTCAATGATCACACCAAGTTTCATCAGAATCGGTTGAAAACTGTAGCTTCTATTGTGCTCACGAACAAACTTTGACATGTTTTAACAAAGTCAAGGGCAATAACTCAAAGATAGCATGCAGTGCAAGGTAACATACGCCCACTGGCAGCTGTCAGAAATAATAAAACAGTCTTTAGTGACTAAAGTACGAATTTTCTCATATTGAAGAAATTATTTATGCTGAATAATTCCACAAAATTTTTTAAAGTCAAATATCAATAACCCAAATACAACAAACAATTAAATCACACAGCTCTAATCAAGGGCAAAAAACAACTTTTGACACGTGTTTACAAAGTCAAGGGAATAACTCAAAAAATGTTCATCAAAAATATCTCTTGTTAGAACTTGTCCGCGATCTTATCAATTCCAATGATCACACCAAGTTTCATCAGAATCGGTTGAAAACTGTAGCTACTATTGTGCTCACAAACAAATTTTAACGTGTTTTTCGTAAGTTAATGGAATTAACTCAAAAAGATTTCATCGAAAATGCGTCAAGTTAGAACTTGTCCGAGATCTTATCAATTTCAATGATCACACCAAGTTTCATCAGAATCGGTTGAAAACTGTAGCGTCAATCCTGCTCACAAACTATTTTTAACAAATTTCAACACATTTTAATAAAGGCAAGGGCAATAACTCAAAAACCATTCATCAAAAATGCGTCAAGTTAGAACTTGTCCGAGATCTTATGAATTCCAATGATCACACCAAGTTTCATCAGAATCGGATGAAAACTGTAGCTTCAATCCTGCTCACGAACAATTTTTAACAAATTTCAAGGCGTTCTAAGTCAGGGGCAATATCTCAAAAACCGTTCATCGAAAATATGTCAAATTCGAACTTGACCGAGATCTCATCAATCTAAAGCATCACACCAAGTTTTATCAAAATTAGATAAAAATTGTAGTCTCTATAGTGCTCACAAGAAATGTTGACGGACGGACCGATGGACAGGGGCGACGACAATATACGACCACATATTCATGTGGGCGTATAAAAACCATTCATCGCAAATGCGTCAAGTTAGAACTTGTCCGATATCTTATCAATTCCAATGATTATGCCAAGTTTGATCAGAATCTGATGAAAACTGTAGCTTCAATCCTGCTCACGAACTATTTTTAACTAATTTTGATGCTTTTTAACAAAGTCAAGGGCAATAACTCAAAAACCGTTCAGCGAAAATGTGTCAAGTTAAAAACTTGTCCGAGATCTTATCAATTTCAATGATCACACCAAGTTTCATCAGAATCGGTTGAAAACTGTAGCTTCTATTGTGCTCACGAACAAACTTCGACACGTTTTAACAAAGTCAAGGGCAATACCTCAAAAACCATTCATCGCAAATGCGTCAAGTTAGAACTTGTCCGAGATCTTATGAATTGCAATGATCACACCAAGTTTCATCAGAATCGGTTGAAAACTGTAGCTTCAATCCTGCTCACGAACAATTTTTAACAAATTTCAAGGCGTTCTAAGTCAAGGGCAATATCTCAAAAACCGTTCATCGAAAATATGTCAACTTCGAACTTGATCGAGATCTTATCAATCTAAAGCATCACACAAAGTTTTATCAAAATCAGATAAAAACTGTAGTCTCTATAGTGCTCACAAGAAATGTTGATGGACGGACCGACAGACAGGGGCAACGACAATATACGACCACATATTCATGTGGGCGTATAAAAACCATCATTGATAAATTGGATGAGAGTGAAGAAGACCACATAAGGCTCACCATATCTAATAATATATCTAGCTTTAATTTGAGAAAATTATTTTCTTCTTGTAACTGTTGGTTATGTTTCTGCAATCTTATAACTTCATGATGACCAGCACCTCCACCTGCACTTTCTACAAAACACAAAGTACATTTAATGAGGTTGAGGGATAATGTCTGAATACCATTAGAAGAAATGATGTTCAACATGTAATACATCCTTTTATTACAATCCATAAATATATACCAGTGAGGACCTACTACAAATATTTTGATATCTTTATGTGTAAGAAAGAAACAGTAAGTTCACCTTGAATCCAATGACCATTTTCAAAAGTAACTTCATTTCCCCCTAGGTTCACCTTAACATTATTACAATCTAAACCAAATTCAGCTTGAGATTGTGTTGAGTCTAAATGTAGATTAGATAAGGATTGAGCTCTTCTTGGTGGTGTCTTCTTTGGTGAAAACTTGTTCCCGAAGAGATTAAGAGGCATGGTTGATAACTCTGTATTTAATCTGAAATTGTGTCAGAAGGTGGCCTGTCAATTAAAACAGTAATCTCTTTTCTTCATGAAATATGATTTATCGCATGTGATATACTTTAATGTGATATCAAATTAAAAATAGTGTGTATGAGAATAGGAGCCTGTGATTGCAATATCATCGCATTGGCACAATTTCAATTTAAGACTCATTTAGTCATATGACATAAGGCAAATATTATTTCTAAGCCTTAGTAGAGTAAGGTCCTGTTAAAAAAAAAAAAAGTACATATGGGGCTGGGCGATATACCAGTGTCACGATCAATATCGGTATAGGAATTTATATTGTTAATAATATCGCCTGATTAAAAAATACCGAAATATAGCCATATTGTAATGGTATCCAGTTAAAACGGTAACACATCAAAACGGCAACAAATTTTAATAGCCAAAACAGTATCAGATCTACCTAAAATGGTAACACAAATTTAGTTAAGATAGCTTGCGTTGCAAGGTAACATACGCCCACTGGCAGCTGTCAGAAATAATAAAACAGTCTTTAGTGACTAAAGTACGAATTTTCTCATATTGAAGAAATCATTCATGCTCAATAATTCCACAAAATTTTTTAAAATCAATATCAATAACCCAAATAAAACAAACAATTAAATTACACAGCTCTAATCAAGGGTAAAAAACAACTTTTGACGCGTGTTTACAAAGTCAAGGGCAATAACTCAAAAAATGTTCATCAAAAATATCTCTTGTTAGAACTTGTCCGAGATCTTATCAATTCATCAGAATCGGTTGAAAACTGTAGCTTCTATTGTGCTCACGAACATATTTTGAAGCGTTTTTACAAAGTCAAGGGCAATAACTCGAAAACCGTTCATCAAAATTGCATCAAGTTAGAACTTGTCCGAGAACTTATCAATTCCAATGATCACACCAAGTTTCATCAGAATCGGTTGAAAACTGTAGCTTCAATCCTGCTCACAAACTATTTTTAACAAATTTTGACGTGTTTTTACAAAGTCAAGGGCAATAACTAAAAAACCGTTCATCAAAAATGCGTCAAGTTAGAACTTGTCCGAGATCTTATCAATTCCAATGATAACACCAAGTTTCATGAGAAACTGTTGAAAACTGTAGCTTCAATCCTGCTCACAAACTATTTTTAACAAATTTTGACGTGTTTTTACAAAGTCAAGGGCAATAACTAAAAAACCGTTCATCAAAAATGCGTCAAGTTAGAACTTGTCCGAGATCTTATCAATTCCAATGATAACACCAAGTTTCATCAGAATCGGTTAAAAAATGTAGCTTCAATCCTGCTCACGAACTATTTTTAACAAATTTCAACACTTTTTAACAAAGTCAAGGGCAATAACTCAAAAACCGTTCATCGAAAATGCGTCAAGTTAGAACTTGTCCGAGATCTTATCAATTCCAATGATCACACCAAGTTTCATCAGAATCGGTTGAAAACTGTAGCTTCAATCCTGCTCACGAACTATTTTTAACAAATTTTGTTGCATTTTTAACAAAGTCAAAAACCGTTCATCGAAAATGCGTCATGTCAATGATCACACCAAGTTTCTTCAGAATCGGTTGAAAAATTTTGTTGCATTTTTAACATAGTCAAAAACCGTTCATTGAAAATGCATCATGTCAATGATCACACCAAGTTTCTTCAGAATCGGTTGAAAAGTGTAGCTTCAATCCTGCTCATGAACTATTTTTAACAAATTTCAAGGCGTTCTAAGTTAAGGGCAATATCTCAAAAACCGTTCATCGAAAATATGTCATATTCAAACTTGACCAAGATCTTATCAATCTAAAGCATCACACCAAGTTTTATCAAAATCAGATAAAAACTGTAGTCTCTATAGTGCTCACAAGAAATGTTGACCGACGGACACGGGCGACGACAATATACGACCACATATTCATGTGGGCGTATAAAAACGGTAACAAACTTAAAAAATATAGCAATATATTCCCATTTCATGATATATTAATGCTTTAAAATATCACGATATTAGCTTAGTTGAACCAATATCGCCCAGCCCTATGTGCCATGCCATACTCTAGCCTACTAAGTAGATATAAAGTACGGTAGAATAGATCATCAATAAATCTTACCAACACAGTGTATTCTTTAAATGCCTTGGCTAAACGTTTAAAACACCTATTCTGTATTCAGTTTAAAACACCTATTCCTATTCTGTATTCATTGATGTAAATCCGGAATTTGTCATAGCCTAATAACAAGGTACGGTATAATGAAAATGAAATGTGTTTTGACATGTTTGATTTAGAGGCTAATAATAATAACAACATCAGTTCAACCTTATTCTTATATTTAAGAACTTAATCATGCAAGCATACATAAAGTGGAATCACTTGAATAGCCCCAGGAATTTAAGAATACTCATGATGCTTACCTTTCTTTCTCGTGCAGTGCAGATTGTTTACAAACAGCTCAACGATCTGACTCTCGTAGTCGGCGTTCGAGGGGAGTAACTCTAATTATTGACTGTGGATACAGACAACAATTCATTCACTTCCACATTTCACATTATAGTCCGAGCTCGTCAGGTGAACCAAACATCATTATGTGTGCTATTTACGCCTATTCATGACTATTGAAGCGAAGAAGTAGGACCACATCCTACTCCTTCGCAAAGCATGCAAATGAATTTTCAATGGTTCAGTGAAGGTGAAACTTTGTTATATTGCTGAGCTTTGAAGCGAGCGAAGAAAAACCTGTGCTGCTGCTTTGAAATGCATTAACTGATCAATTAATATTATTAAAGCAACTGTTATGATATTCATAAATTCACTGATAAATTTAAGATTATTTTAATAGATTTTAATCAAAACAGATCAACAACATAATCAACAAGAATTCTGTCTAATCCTACTTCTTTTTATAGTACATTTACACACCAAACGTTTTGATTAAAAAATACCCAACAAACAAAATGAATGATTCAGGGATATGATGTAGAAAAATTCTCAGCTAAAAAAAAGTATGATGATCCTTCTATAGAAAGAATTTTTCTACATCATATCCTTGAATCATTCATTAAGTCGTAGTATGCATCTATTAAAACTAGTATAGTCTCATTTATTCAAAGTAGAATATAAATGTTTACCTATGTCAGTCAATAACTTACTGTTAAAGCCTTATATAACAAAAAATATAGTTATACACACACCAAAACAACGAACATTCTCTGATTTTATCATTATTGATAGAGATTACAGTAGATATGAATGATATACAATCAGATTTAAATACAGAATTTCTGTGCTACTTAATTTACTCAAGAGATAACATTGTGCCCAACGCAGCAACAGCAAAGTTCTTGTAAAGGGGGATAGAGTAGGTTTACTTTTCTGAAAATGCAGTGATGGTAGACAGGTATTTCATAACATGGCATTGTCCTGTCCACAGTTGTCTGTGAAAGCATATACATTTTGTAATACCCTTGATTGTTTGTCTTTCAAGATCAAGGAGCTCAGTATTAATTTAATGAATCATTTCCAGTGAGCATATACTGTGCAAAATAGTGGACATCATTAGATCAATGGTCAGTATCAACCAGCAAGTGGTCATGATGGTTATATGAACAAAAACCCAAAATATTCATCACTGAGCATTGGTTTGTGGTGAAGCATTCGATTTATTAGTTTGTCTGATTCACATATCAGGTCAAAAAGGAATTTAAGCGAAAACTTGAAACAATCTTGTGCTGTATTTTAATCTGATTGGATGATGGAAGGCAATCTATGAATTTAGGCAATTTTAGCTGCCACTTTCCACACACATCTTTTTATTTTGTAACATTAAAACATTTAACAAATCTATTAATAATATACTATGAATATATCTATGTAATAAATAATTATAAAAAAAATAATGTGTATTATTATAATAAAAAATGTTGCGTATAATAATTCTGTCACATCTAAATAATTATGAAAATAAAATCAGACATAATAGTTATTTTTGAAATTAAAATTTCTTATTCTTATTTATCTCCTACTGTTTCCCAACAATAGTTGACTTTTTCTATCATTCAAGAAACATTGAGAAGAGTTTTATTTGACCATTTCAGACTCATTCTTCTTATTGTCTGAGCAAATCAAATAGTTTTTTGAATTTTTCGATATTTTTATAGAGTCTCAAAATAGTACTGATATTCCTAGAATAAATGTGAAATGATAAAAATATAATCTTTTGTAAGTTTACATTGAAAAGAATCACATTTCTCTCCTATTTCAACCCAAAAAATTCTCAAATATTGAAGACATAAGGCTATATCCCAAAAATAATAAATGTCTAGTAAATTAAAATGATGAAGCACCAGTTAATCGTCGAACATGTTCGTATGTTATCCAGAATGTACAAGACCAGGGTGCCTGTAAAAGAAAAATGTTCAGTATCTTATAACTAAAAGATAGGTTGCCAGTCAAATTAACATACGCCCACAACCAGCTGTCAGAAATGATAACAAAATCTTTAGTGGCTTAATAATGAATTTTAAAACAATCTTAAAAATATTTATAAGTAAAGGCAAAACCTCAAAAACAGTTTATTAAATTCAAACATGAACAAGGTCAATAAATCTGAGCCATTCATCCGATTATTACCAATTTCAAACTTGAGCGAGATCGCATCAAAATATATGTGAATACCAAGTTTCATCCAGATCGGATAAAAACTGTTGTCTCTTTCCTGCCTACAAGCCAAATTTGACACGTTTAAACTAAGTCAAGGGTAATAACTCTGTTACCAAATTCAACTGAGATCTCTTAAATATATATACACACCAAGTTTCATCAAGATCAGGTAAATACTGCAGCTTCTATGGTGCCTACAAGAAATGTCAACGGATGGACAGGCGATGGTAATATATGTCCACATTTCCATCAATAATTGGAATCATTGTGCTGTAAAAAAGACAATCGCTTTACATATTAGCTTGCAAAGACATTTGAATCAAAAAAGCTTCTAACTAAAATCAAGCCAATAAAAATTTCATCTAGATATAATCGACTTCAATCTCATACAAGGTCTCATCAATCTACATAAGCATATAAAAGTAAAATAACACAATTAAAAATCATCAGAAAATCTTTAGGTATAAGTTCTATATTGCAACTCACTAGTGTAAAGCAAATAAGCTGATGTGGAACTAACCAACCAGATATGAATAAAGCCCTAATGATTAAAGAACATGGTAATGTCATTTTGAATTCCCAATCAATTTCAAGAGTATACAAGATTATTTTTAAAAAGATTTTTACAATCAAAAATATGAAAAAGACATTATTATCCCATTTTATCAAAAAGACACTTTAAAATACAAAAATTGTTAAAATTTAAACTGTTATACCAAAAATTAGATAAATTACATGTTAGATCTAAATGATGTTAAAACAGAATTAGAATGTTTTAAGAATAACTCTGAAATAGAAGCACTGTTTCTACATTCTGTTTATATTAATTATTACATTTCTTGTTGTTATAATGTTTAGTATAAGAAAAGACACAGACATCTAAAACAAAACAAAAAAATAGCATGCAAATAAAGTAATATTGTTACCATTCGTAAATAAATTGGTATTAAACCTTTATATAAAGCCAAAAATCCCTCCTGTTGCACAGTTTTAATTAAACAATCTATTGATCCTTGATATAATAGACCCCTGAAGATAAAAATAATTCAAAATTATCATAAGCTTACAGGTAATTCTTTCATTATATAAAATGATAACAAATTTGAAAGGGGGTGGGGGAGGCCAGCATCTTTTCTGCTAGGGGGAGGGGAATGGCCGCCTGTAGAAACACCATTGAATATAAATATACTATATAGTTTAATTGACTGGAATTTTATACGTATAAGCACTTTACTTACTTTCCATTTTTAGTTGGTTGATTCATAACTCTTGTTTTTATTACATCAGCTGGTGTTCCTAATAATGCTGCCATGATACCTGAACACGCACTGAAAACATTACAATAATGTGTGAAAAAACTAAGAAAAGTTTAACAGTAATTCATGCACTTGTCACAATTCAACAGCACAATACAACTTGTTTCATCTTTTTCAGAAAAAAATCATCTTAGCAATAAGCACAACCTTTATCACATGACATATATATCAGTAATTTAAATGTAACATTGTCTTACCTGGATATTATATGAGTAATATGATTATCACCAATATTAGTATGAGTTAATAACTGATGTTTAACTGTGTCGTAAGTTACCAAATCTCAAAAACAAATTATGTTTCTTTAGTGTACAAAACATGATCATGTTTTGATTATATTGTTGACAAACAAGATAAAAGATTTTAAAAAATGCTATTAATAACTGGATGTTTTTGAAGAAGAATACATTAATAATTGCTATGAATTTATTTCTCTGCCGTCTTTAAAAAACAAAGTATCATTTTACAAGTCCAACACATTCAATAGTTTCTGCATTCTTTGATTTCTACATGACAATCCTCAAAAATGATAAAAAAAATAGTAAAATAAGAAAACCCACCTCCCATATTAACTAAAGCTGCCCTCTGACAATTTGGTACCCAACCACTCCATAAACCTCTTACACCCCCTTCAGCAACAATCTTCTTTAAAGCATGCAGAGAGCTTGTAACTCTAGATAAATAAACAATTATATCTTGTTTATACAATGATAATATCAAAGGAAATTCTCTGGCATTTTTACTATTTTTACAAATCTTCATTTCCGCTAATTGAAGCTTCTTATTTACATACTGTATTATAGACTGTATTGTTGAAATTAAATAAGCAACTTTGCTTACCTGGGAGGTTTTCCTTCCAATCTTCTTCTGCCTTCCATTTGCATCTGTACCTTGATTAGATCAGTTGGACTGGCTATAAACTGACCTCCAGCACCAGCCAATGTACTGGCTACAGTAGCTTTCCTGTCAAACATAGAAACATCATACATATGCATACAAATTATCATCCCAATTATTACAACGCTACCATCTATCATGCCTACAAGCCAATTTCTCTGCATTTCAACTAATTCAAGAGTAATGCAATTTACATTTAAGTAACCATTTGTCAAAATAATACTAACTATGTAACTCACCAGAGGGGAAAGGTGCCATCTTTATTTTTACCTAATACCTTATCTCGTAGTAATTCATAGAAAGACATTCTACAACCAGAATAAACTGAAAATAAAATGACTCAACAGATTTCAAAACTATGTACATCGGTACTGCAAAATGGAAATGTTCTCAAAGATTAAGCATGAGGTGTCTCACCGCAAGTTCTAAAGATTGGAATCAAGAAACAGAATGGATGAAAGAGAAATCTTAAAGGTACAGGTTAAATTGAATCATTTGTCACATCAAAAGATTTTAATTCTGATTTTATGCAGGATTGCTACAGATATTCATTCTTATACCTTTTTCTGAAATGCCTTAATTTCAACTACGTTACATGGAGCCTAATATATCAAAATATCAATATTTTGGGTTCTTAACTTAATATCAATAACAACTATAAAAACTTACAAACATGTCTGTATAAAGCTGGAGTGACTCCCTGCCATAATCTAAATACCCCTTCTTCGGTTGCTTTGAATCAATAATAATAAAAAAAAATAATGTATAAAAATATGGCATATCACTGATAGAAAAATATACAAGTCACATTCATCAGCAATACCATGGAGCTTAATTTTAACCTTTTTTATTATCTAAAGATAAAATAAGTTATGAATGAATATTTCAGTATTAAACTCTTACTGATATACTTATTCCTTGAAAACTGAGATCAGATATCAGTGTATGTATTATTCAATATTTTGTGCTTTAAACTAACAAACAAACAATCGAAAATATAATGCATCCTTGAACTTGTCCTTAATATCAAACAGATCAGATAACTAGTAAAATATAATTGTTTAACGTTACAATATTAATGATACTGTATTTCATTTGAGCCCCAAGTTTAAATCAAGGCTCACCTATTCCATATGCTGTTCTCAGCATGCCTCGATACTGTTTTTTATCATGAATTGTAGATGAAATTGTTGATGAACCAGCATGAGCTGCCAGCTCTCCCTGTATTTGTAATCTTGTTTTGGTCAAATCCAATGGATAGGTAACTAAACAAAGATAATAAATAGCACAATCAATTCAAAATAAAACTAAAATCATATTTTTAATTCATATTAATGCAGAAATGAAATGAAATTAATGGAGTTTTACGTCCTACTGTTCTGCACCATGTGGGCTAGTGAAGACGGGCAACACCATGCAGGGTGCAATGAGAAAAAATTTTGCCAGGACAGTGGCATTAGCCTGCTCTTTTTCGATTTCCAACTGTCGAGGGATCTTTAACGTGCACAGCCTGTGTAGCACACGGGGCCTCGGTTTATTGTCCTATCCGAACAACTAGACGCTTTTACCATGTCAGTCCCTCTTACCTGCATCACTGACAGGTTGAAACCGAGTTGAAAAATCCAAAGGTATTATCTCGACGGGATTGAACCCTGGACCTTCAGGTTAGCGAAGCAACCGCGGCTCCCTCATATTAATGCAGAGCTAGGTTAAGTATATAAAATATCCATCTTGAAAATATTAGTACAGTGTTATAAAAAGTGTGTACCTTACTTGTGTAATTACAAGTGGATAATTTGAACAAAACTTGTACAATATAAGTATTTTTTACTTTCTTTATTCAATTGATTGGTCTGTGTATCAGATTGGAGAATTAGATGGAATACCATGTGTTTCCAGATTTTCTTTCATATTGAAATTTTGGGCTATCGCTTTTAAGAAGACCTTAGTTATTAACAAAACTAGAATGGATGTTTAATAAGTACATCTTACCATTGTGTATGAATATTTATGAAGTAATTGGTGGGCAATTTGGTGATCACTTGGTCGTTTTGACAATTAAACGCGGGCGATTTGCCATAAAAAAATGCTAACACTTCTTACCACTTTCTGCAACACATGCTGCCACCACTGACAACGCATACTTAAATATGAAGGTGTCTTGTCTTTTGACTTTGCCCTCGTCCATTCTTGTAACCTTCCCCAATATAACGGTCAACTCTTATACTTCATTATTTGCACTTGTTGAGCCTTTGAGTTAAACCAGTCATCAATCGATGCGATTTAGTCCGAACACGTGACTTGACTGCGATAGTGGCACAGTGGACTAGAATGTCATTAACCTTTGTTAGAAACTAAATTATACCCTGTGCCCTCTTTATTTGACTCTCATGAAATCATTTCCTATAGAGTACTAAGACTTCACAGACACAAGGCAATAGGCATAAGGGCGGAGAAAAAATATGCTTTAAGGAACTTAAAAGCTGAGTGTTTTGCATGACGCCAATACGAATATAGCATTTGTTCTTAAAGTTCTTTTTTCTTTCAAACTGAACCTTTACTTTTAGCTGAGTTTTGGCCCGAACGCATTACTTACTACATAGTACAACTACAAGGCCTATTGAAGTCCGAGATGTCGGGCTTTCTTTTTCAAAATACCCACTGAAACGCTTTTAGAAATGAAATGTCTACAAATGAATAGACTTTGTTTAAAGACAACAAATTTTATTTTACTTCTTGTGTGAAAATGTGTCTGGATTTAGCCCTTGCCTAAGCGTGTAGCAAACTCAAAACGCACGACGTCCACAAATGTACCGGAAGTGAGCCATTAATGTCAGAAGCTTCACTCATCAGCTGATATTTGATCAAATTATTAAGAATTTAGTCATATAGTATTGAAAATCGCTATGCAGAGATATAAAACAACATTATACATGTTATTAGTTTTTCTGCTTTGAGACCTTAGCATCAGACTTTATTGAAAGTCCATTCTCAGACTCAAACAGCCTGCTGCTGTAGTATACAATTTTTTTGGTAAACAATTTTTGTCCAGTTTGTTTTATGTTTTATAATTTGAGGGATTGTTCATTTGGACGAGCATTAGCCTATCAGCATTTTTTGGTGTAGATGTAGGCAGGCAATATTTTTGAAGTGGAAAGATATCATCAATCTTATAAAGTGATTATCTTGTTTCTGAATTTAATATCAAGATAACAGTTACTGGCAGTGAAACTTGGTGTGACTTAAACAACTAAAGCTAAGGAACAAGAGGTTCATAAAGCTTATTTTATAGTCAATAGACATAAATTTTGAGATGGAGGCGAAGGCTAAATATGATTTTAAAGGATCTCAAAGTGATGAACTGGATATGGAGAAGAATGACATAATAAAGGTATGTTGATAATATTATTTTATATGTTGAATATTTTTATACATATTACTGATGTATAAATGTTAGATGACCTGATGTATAAAATATGAACATATATATGGAATCCAAATGTACTGATTTGATTGTCTTTAAATGATAATTTTAGGTTTTAGATATGGAAGACCAAGATTGGTACAAAGCAGAAAAGAATGGTAAAGTTGGAATGGTGCCTGCTGCCTATTTAGATGTTTATCCTCACCAGTAAGTATTATACGACTTCAAGAAGATGTTCAAGAGGCATAAACCTATCACTCATGCCTCAAATTTCTTCTAAAAGTATTAATAAGAATATATGTCTTTGATATATCCTAAATGAGCATAATTATACATATGTTGAGGCAAGTGTTTAATTTCTAAAGAAAGCTGACTTTCTATTTATTTTCAAGCTATGTTTCAAAATTTTGATGAAACTTGGTGTGAGTGTTTGAAATCATCCAAGAATGATCCCTATTGAAAATCAGACAAATCGCAAAATATTTAGTACGAGTTATTGTCTTTGTTCGAAATGCTCATAAACACTGTAGAAGGATAAATTTTTGACAGATCTTGTTCAATTTTTAGCTTGTAAGCCATTAGAAGGCACAATTCTCGACTTAAATACAAAAATTGAGCACTGTTTTATATGAGTTATTGACATTGCATTCAAATTTTAGCTCATAAACACTTAAAAGTTCGATTCTGCTGTATTTTGACGAAATATGGTAATATTATACAGTATCACCTCCAAAAAGTTTAAAAGTGTATGACTGAAGGTTAAATATTTCATTCTGTTACAGTACTGCCAAATATTTTTGTTTAAAATCAAAGCTGCCAGTTGGCGTATTTTACCTTGCCTGGCAAGACATCTTTCAAAAAAAAGATAACATTGGGTCAACTGTCACAATGATTTGAAAAATGTAACTATTTAGCATTAATAACATTATTATCCTAGATGGTACTTGGGAAAAATTACACGTGGTGAAGCTGAAAAAATATTACTGGAAACAGATAGAACTGGTCGTCATAAACATGATGATGGAGCATTTTTAGTTCGTAATAGTGAATCTGATTCTTCAGGGTTCTCACTGTCAGTCAAGTAAGTTTTTATATTGTTAATTATGTATATCTCTTATCAACACATTATATCTTCAACAAGGTGATTAAATGAAAACTAAAAGAAGTAATAAATAAACATCAATAGAGAAACATAGCTTGCGTTGCAAGGTAACATACGCCCACTGGCAGCTGTCAGAAATAATAAAACAGTCTTTAGTGACTAAAGTACGAATTTTCTCATATTGAAGAAATTATTTATGCTGAATAATTCCACAAAATTCTTTAAAATCAATATCAATAACCCAAATACAACAAACAATTAAATCACACAGCTCTAATCAAGGGTAAAAAACAACTTTTGACGCGTGTTTACAAAGTCAAGGGAATAACTCAAAAAATGTTCATCAAAAATATCTCTTGTTAGAACTTGTTCCAATGATCACACCAAGTTTCATCAGAATTGGTTGAAAACTGTAGCTTCAATCCTGCTCACGAACTATTTTTAACAAATTTTGACGCGTTTTAACAAAGTCAAGGGCAATAACTCAAAAACAGTTCATCGAAAATGTGTCAAGTTAGAACTTGTCCGATATCTTATGAATTCCAATGATGACACCAAGTTTCATCAGAATTGGATGAAAACTGTAGCTTCAATCCTGCTCACGAACAATTTTTAACAAATTTCTAGGCGTTCTAAGTCAATGGCAATATCTCAAAAATCGTTCGTCGAAAATATGTCAAATTCGATCTTGACCGAGATCTTATCAATCTAAAGCATCACACCAAGTTTTATCAAAATCAGATAAAAACTGTAGTCTCTATAGTGCTCACAAGAAATGTTGACGGACGGACCGGGGCGACGACAATATACGACCACATATTCATGTGGGCGTATAAAAAGGATATGCCTACTAGTCTTCAGCATTATCTTTGCACTGCTCTTTTATGGCATCTTTAATGGTTTTATATAAAGTACCGTAAATATATGATATTTGGATCAACAAATATGATGCAGCATTAGGCAATTCGGGTGTATTTTGACCCCTTTCTTACTTCAAGTTCAATACCTTAGAACTTTTTCAGACTGAGGTGGCTCAGAATGCTCAGTCTTATTAAGTATGAAGCTTGAAGCTATGAGTATGTCAACAAAATTCTAGTTTTCTATTGGCTTTTATTGATCTATGTTTTATTTTTATTTCTTATAGGCATACAAATAGTGTTCTACATTTCAAAATATTAAATAATTCAGCTGGAAACTATTATTTATGGACCAAACAATACCGATCAGTTACAGAATTAGTCAACAATCATAAGAAAGAGTCAGTATCTAGGAACCCTGGTACTATTATATTGCTAAGGGAAATGACCAATCAAAATGATACTGGTGTGATAGTGAGTTTCATTTTCATCTTATATGGCCACATTTAAGGTTTATAATGCTGCCACAGTCAAAGTCTGAAGAGCATTATTATATGCACCGTAATGCATTTTGTTGTCACTCCAGTTTATCCGTCGGTCAACAGTTGAAGCATATTTAGAATCTGGAGATTTCATCAGAATCGATCAGATAAACCCATATTTTTATATTATAGAATGCAAAAGGATTGTATGATTTCACTGCTAGTGGTATAGAAGAACTTTCATTCCGTAGAGGAGATAGATTAATTATAAAAGATAGATCAGATCCAGACTGGTTTCAAGCAGAACTGAATGGACAAAGTGGATTTATACCATCAAATTACATTGAATATGAATCATAATTCTGGTCATAATGATATGATATATAAGCTCTATTTTTATATATTAACAAAATATATATTGACACAATAATGCTGTATTTGTTACCTTTAGTATGTTTAACATTTTCCAATAGAATATTGCGATGACTATACAGTCAGAGTAAACAATACTGAAACAGGCAAATAATTCACATGCACAACTTGTTTGACATCACGATTGGTATGTTTTGATAATTGAAGATATGTCAACCTGCACTAGATTGTTAAAGCAAGATGAGATTTTTTTGTTCATTTAATACACTTAAATACAAAACATTTCAGTTATTACCAAATTCCACAATGCCCTTGTTTCCCAAACTATATATGCGATTTTTTATCACATATTCTAGTAAAAAAAAGTTACGTGACTATCCGATTTCATGTCGCCAGAAAAATCTATGGAACACATTTGTTTCCTCATAAAATATGGGTCGAAGGAAATAATCCATAAAGCAAAAAGAATCAAACAAACATTGATTATTTCATTGAATATCTGAAGTAACATTTTGGGCATAAGAGAAATTTTTCTTTCTTTCAATTTAAAAGTAGTACGGTAATGTGTCCTTATTTCCATATAATTATATTACTCTACCATATTCTGTAAACATTTTGGAAATTCAAAAAAGACTCTTTCTGTAAATTTATGCCTCATTTGCCTCTGTGTTTTTATTACATAATTTGAGTTCTTTACCAAGATAACAAAATTTTCTGAGAAATATGATGCATGATATTATTTTTGTAATTTGTGTAAACACAATTTAACTGTTGGTAACAAATACAGTGTGAGAGACACAGTAGAATAACAACATCATCATTTATATTATAACTCTTCACAATTATATTGTAATTATCATATAGTGCTGATAAGAAGTCTTTGTCAAAGTATATTTTGTGTGAAAGTTTTATATGCATTTAAACTAAGCATCCTTATATACGTCATAATAAGTTTTCATTTCAAGTTTGTCTAGCAGCAGTTATGGTTTTATTTTATTGATTAAAAGTGTATTAGATAGACATCTAACTTTTGATACAGCAGGGTGTCATTTTCATCACTAATTTTGATAGTTCCAGGTTTTGGTTCTTAACCAATAACATTTGCTGTGGGTCTACATGCTTTTAAAGTGAAAAATGTCCTTAATGCATCATTTTAACATGATTGTTAACTGATCAGATTGAATTGAAGGATTGGGGAGGTTAACAGTCCTAAATGATGAGAATAGTGTTTTTACACGCACTACATAACATCTAAATATTTAACAAATCTAGTAGTCAATGGCTTCAAAACAAGACTGCTTCTTTGGCACATATTTAATTGAGATTATTCAGAAATTTAAGATAAAATTTGCTTAATTTTGTCACATAGTTTTTTGCATTTTAAATTGTAACTCCTAATTGCTTGCTTCTTGGTTGTATTGTAGTGAATTATTACTTAAAAAGAAAACTATATAGTTGTACTAATACATGTATATGTTTTTGACAATTTGTTTTTAAATTTAGCAATAATTTGGTGAGCTGGTCTTACTTTGAAAAATCAGACAAATAGGTTGTAGATGTAGAGATGTTTCTCTAACAAAATTAACTGTATGTGGTATTAGTTTCTGTTGTGGTTTCGTTTTTCTCTCGTTTTTTTCACAAAATTATTGAAGTTAATTTGCTTGAGCTGGTCTCGAAATCATCTAAAGTCAATATATAAAGTTTTATTGTGTATGTTTACAAATCATCAGTTTGTAGTATATTTGACGTCACGCAATTATCATAATTTCAATTTGATTACTAATACATGAATTCACATTTATACAGAGTGATATTATAGTTTGGGATAACAATCCTAATGATATGTAATAATGGTTGGTATTAACAGATTACTTTTCATTGTTCTATTTCTGTTTATTTTTTTTAAAAGTCAAGTTGACAGCACATAATATGTCAATAAAATATATAATTTGCATGCATTTATTATTATTTTTATTCCCCATTGATATGTTTTGTTGTTTGTTTTTTTACACATTGATTCACTTACATTCACAGACATATTGTCTTGTTAAACCAAAGACTGGTCAAATTGATATATATTTGCTCAACAAATTTGTGTCTACTCAGTAAGGCAGTTTTTTCACAATTGTATGTATCTTCCTGAAGTCAATGTTGCCAGCTTCCAAATTTGACTAGTTCCATCCTCCTATTACAAGATAGTTCATAGATTAATTGAAAATAAAGGACATGGATTTGGATGTATATTGCTGTCTATCTTGCAAGTTCATTTAATTGATTATTGAGACAACTATAAAATATTGATTTGAGAAATATTTCTGGTATGATTAAACTGAGTTAAATAAAAGATAGAATAATACATGTAGTAGCTTATATACAACTTACAAACTGATCAATTTAACATACTTGTATTATAGTGATATTATGTCATCTCTAAATTAATAAGCTTATCTTTTTAATCAGGTCTTATTAATCAGTGAATGATTATACCTAATTATCATTTTATATGCAATCAATTAAACTTAACGACATGTTTATCTATTATGTCAATATTTACCTACCTAAGGTCAAGAATTTGTATTGTTTCAAAATGATATTAGCTAACTTTTAATGCTTAGCACTTTTTCTATGTCATCCAATAAAATTAGTACAGATGTGAAGATTTAAATATGGCAGTTTGTACAAGATTCCTATCTGTACAGGGGAATGGTCAAGAATATTAGATATATCAGCATTATGAAGTTACTTAAAATGGCCATTGAGTTAAAGGTTTTTCGTAGTGGTAATTACCAGAACACACCTTAAGTCCCACAATTCTGGTTTAAAACAAATTGGAATTGTACAAGGGCAATTGTTATGTGATTTCAGTGGTGCTATACCTTCAATTTAAGTGGAGAGTTTTAATTGCTAGTTATATTTTAACAAGATATGCATTTCAGTTATCATTTCAGTTATTCTACGGAATTTAAGTTTATTTCCCTAGATAAAATGCTTCAAAATCATATCATTATAGTGATAGGTGTATCATTGTAGAATTTAGGTTATTTACTTATAATAAATATGTTAAATACTCTATATTATAATTTTGTAGTTTTTATTAATCCACCATTATGTCTGTCCGTATGCAACATTCGGCATTCCGCAGAACTTCGTAAAGCTGACACTGACTCTACAATGAATTGCAGATTTATTGTGTCTTCTAGGGCGAGACTCTTTATTTTGATGTTAAAACATTAAAATAATCCAACATTTAGAGCATTTGACGGATAATACCGATATCTATTTGAAATTAATTCTATTTTGTGACTATTTTTTACTATGACACACGCCGAATTTGTGAAAAATTTTGGTCAAGACATTACCGGAAATACTTAACTGTCCCAGTGCCCCACACGGTACCACAAAACAGTCGAGGGGTAGGATATTTTCCCTCTTTCGTACAACTCGGAAGTAAATTGACACCGTGCATAGATGTATATAATAAATATGATATATATTGATATTTATAACTCTATGGTGCCTTGTGGGACCTTGTAGAATCATTCATTGCAATTATAGAAACGCCACTGTTGCATGTGGGCGTACTTTGCCTGGTAAGCTGTCTGTAGCCTACAGTTCAAAATATAAATCTGCTCATACCATACTGGTGGCGTTGAAAGATGGTTAATTTAACGATGGACTGGGACAAATAATTCGATCTTATCGGATATTCTTAACTATGGAAGTCCCCTTCCATAAAGGAATTAAAGAGGAATAGGGAAATGAACTTTATACTCAATCCTATTAATATATAACCGTTTTTAAGGAAGTAGTCTTGATTTCATAGTATCTCTATTATAGCCTCGATCAATTTTGATAAAGAGTAAATCTTTCGGACTCACTCGAAGAAAGTTTTCCAAATGGAAGCCAAAGCAAAGTATGATTTTCACGGAACACAAAGTGATGAACTGGACATTAATAAAGGAGATATCGTTAAGGTTTGATCAATTTTTGTCCAAAATGTTAAAATTACGCCTTAATTTGTTTATTGTGTGACATCATAATTTACTTCCTAGTTAAAGACCTATAGTATACCATATTATAATATATATTCACACATTTATATTAAACTAGGCTATTCGTAATATAAACTTAACGGGATGTTGAATGGAAAAAGCATTAAAATATCTATAACTATGAAATCTTTAAATAATCCAGGCCGAAATCACAGCACTGGATAATATACCAAAAGGTGATATATTAAAGATTCAAACCAGACTTGATTATCGTTCGAAGCGAGTCTAAAATGTCATTTTGTTATTCTTAATGGAATGATAATTGTATAATTAAACTGTACATTAGATGTTTTGATATTTTTAAAGTCGTTATACTAGACATATTGGAAATTTAGAAACCCAAGTTTCAGAGAGCTGAATTAGCAACGAAGTTATAAAATATGATACAGAATATTGTCAGATGAAATAACCTAGGTTTTAAAAAGAATATTGTTAAACCATTTTTATAAGCAAAAGAATAAAAACCGCAGTCAACCATACAATCAAATAATTGTTTAAGGTTATTAGGCCTTACTACGAGGATAAAACATTATCAGTGAGAGCATCCGCTTGACTTGAACTATTTACATAATTATGTTTAGTGGGCCGCCTTCATTTTACAGATAAAATAGGTCGCGATGCAAGTTTACATTATATATCTGAAGTCTAGTTCTACTGCTACTGCTAACTTCCATGAAAATATCAAAAAATAATAAACGGAATTGTAATCTAATATTTAATTACATTGAATTGATATGAACTTCACATCACGAATTAGCTAAATATAATGATAGAGCAAACTGACATTAAAAATCCAATCTCTGCCTTCCTCATTTTTGTATCTTACATAATTCATCGTAAACCAATACACAAAGCCTACATCTAAAGCTGGGCGACAAGATCAGAGAAATGACACAGTGACGGTGCCAGTGTTGTGCAGGTTGGGGGAGAGAGTCA